CTGTTGTCTTTGGACTTCGTAAAATTCCTGAAGCACAATGTGATAAGGTCAAAGATGTTAAGTTTTTGGGTGTTTATGTGGATCAACTCCTGTCATGGTCATATTATGTTGAACATCTCCGTACTAGACTAAGTAGATTGACATTTCTTCTCAGAAAACTCAATGATGTTGTTCCTTTTGACTACCTATATAAAAACTGCCTATTTTGCACTTTTCCAATCAGCTCTTAATTATGGAATAATCTTTTGAGTCAGCAGCCCTTACATCACTGATGTTATTTTAATACAAAAAAAGGTGATCAGGATCATGGCAAATGCCAATCACAAGGAACACTGCAGACCAATTTTTGTAGACTTTAAGATTTTGACCGTTGTTAATTTATTTTTATATAACATTTTGTTGACTAGTTTTAAGAACCTGAAATCCCACACTCTTAGGGGTGATGTACACAAGTTTAATACTAGGAATAGAGGTAAAATTGACATCCCTTATGTTAGACTTGAAAAAAAATGAAATCTAATTATGAAGTACTGGGACTCAAATGCCTAAATAAACTCCCCAAGGAAATACTGTTATTGAACAACAAAGCCTTCAAAAATAAAATTCTTCTGTGGCTGACTGTACACCCTTTTTATGGGCTGGGAGAATTTTTTTGAATGTTCAACCAATAGTTATTTGTGCAACTAGTGAGAAAAGTGTGCAATTGACTCACTCGAGAGAAATCCTTACTCACGAGCGTAGGCGAGTGAGGAATGGTTTTTCGAGTGAGGCAATTGTACTTTGAACTCGAGTTGCACATTATACTTTTCCTACAGTTACCATAAAACAAATAAATTGGTGAAGAAACATAACCTATTTTTACACAGAAGTGAACTTTTAATATAACATTTAATGTGAAGTGACAAATATGACAGTACAACAGCTGACCAGCTGATTTACAGCCAGTGCTGCCAACGTATTTCGCGCGCATACGACGTTGCCTGCATGTTACGCGCTCACTATTTCGTGCCTTCACGTTGCAAATCTGGAGTGAGACAAAGTTAACATTGTCTCACTGATGAGCGAATTGTGCCATCTAAATGACCTTTGTATCTATTTGATTTTTTTGTTCATGCCTTATTTGTTATGTACTGTAATTTATCTTTGACTTGTGTTTTTGCAGAATGTATTCAACTTTATTGACGTATCCTAATGCATGGACATGTCTAATGGAATAAAATATTGATTCTTGATTCTTTGTTGGGTCAGAGATGGATTGTATTTTTTTATGCAGAATAGCAGAATCTTCTTTTGAATTACCAAACTTCTAAGATGCTTTGAAAACCATAGAGGAAATTTACAACTGACAAATTGTTAAATCACATATTCCATACTGTTGGTAATCCACAGAGCTGACACCTAAAAAATTAACATATTGGACATTAAAAATAGGTATTTACCTTCGTCTACAGCTCAAACTGTTGTAACTTGAGTTACGGCCGTTTCGGCATTATAATGCCATCGTCAGACGTTGAACATTCAGCTGAAGTAGCGTCGTCATAGTTGAAACACATAACACGAACACGAATAACATTTTACAATTATTAACGAAAACACAACGAACAGGCCTATCGTACCGGTTGACATTGCCCGCGATCTAAACAGGCCAGTTTCTGGTTTAGAGTTAATAGGCTCTCCTTGAACATGGACAAGACTCAAGTAGTTAATTTTCGATCAGATCATAGAAATAGTTTAAAACAGACCACTTTTACAAATAATCAGTTAATGTCTGAGGAGACAGTCAATTTTTTGGGTATTCATATAAACGAAAATCTTGACTGGCTTCCTCACATTGACAAACTACGGAAAAAACTTTCTTCAGCAATATTTTCTCTCAAAACAATTTTTCAAGTTACAGATACTGAAACTCAATTAACAGTTTATCATTCATATTTTTCATCTTTAATGTCATACGGAATACTTGTCTGGGGAAATTCTTGCCATGGTAAGAAGATTTTTAGGCTTCAAAAGAAGGCACTTAGAATCATAGCTAAAAGTACCCCGAAGAAGTCCATGCAAAGCCATCTTTCAGGCTTTTAGCGTTTTGACATTTTATGACCTGTATATTTTAGAAGCATTATTTTGGGTATTCAACAATTTGTCCATTTTCAGGGAGGGTCACACAAACCATAGGTATAAGCCCACTAGCTATAGATTATCACTATTTGAAGCATCACCTCAATTATTATATTGGACCGAAATTGTATAACTTGATTCCAGATCATTTAACACGTAGCACGTAGAGTGCGGCCGTTCCCGATCGGGTACGGCGCTTGGCCCCCGTACGGTGCGTCCGTACCCCATCGGGAACGCTCGGTAATGCCTTTTGTATATCTTCGTTTTTGCTCTAGCGTCGGCCGAAAGCGGACCTATACCACGTTAGCGTGTAATATGTGACTTGCATTTTGTTGTGTTGTAGGTTGGTAGTAAATTTCCCCGTAAAATCCCCGTCTGGCAATCTCAAAAGTCTTCTTTTTGTCCCGTCTTTTTCCCTCCATTTGGCAATACAATTCCAATGGGACCTGCTACGTTCCAAGCAGTGCTGCTATCGGTGGGTGTTTAGCGAACTACGTCGACTCTCGTTGTAAAGCAGGACATCCCCTCACGTTATTTGCTATTCGTCAGACCGAAATTGGAAAGCCAATCACACGCGGCAATCGGGTTTACTCGACGCTGAGGGCTGCGCCGCACTGGGGATACGCCCGCTATTTGACGTGCCGCAGCGAACGTGTTTAAAAAAACATCGCAAATCCAAAAAAAGTTCAAACAAAAATGTAAAGAATGGTAAAAACATTTTATTCTTTTGAATTTTTAAGAGGAAATTGTTAAGTGTTGAAATTATTTTATTTGGATTTATTACTATTTAGATTTAAGTATTACGAGGTGTAAGCCCGTCCTACGTACGGGAATTCAGTAGTCAGTTAAAACAGTGTACAATACAAATCAGCTAGTTTACACATATAAAGACAAAGTTTCTTGCAGTTTTAATGTGAAAAATCATCTTGTAAACAAATGTTGTGTGACCAAATATGTTTTTATTCCATCATAGGCCTATACGATATGCATTTTATATCCGATAATTTTACAATAAAACAGCAATTCTGCAATTTTTACGATGTGAAAAGCGTTGAAGTGAGATTTGCAGCCGATTCGCACAGACGCACACTGATTATAAGTAGCCTACAATAGAGAGAGAGTAATAGGGATAATGTTTAATCTATGGTAATAGTCAATTGAGAAGTGTATAGACCTAGTCAACGATACCACCTTCCACAGCATACCTCCCTCTTCCATAATTATTATCACCACAATACAACTACTATACACAATTTCCAGTAGGTCTGAATAGAAACTACCTAAAATAAAACGATAGTATCCAATAAAATTCACAGTACACATAATTTAACTTTCGTGTCCTAACATCAAAACTAATCGTCACACCTATCCTTTATATCAATTTCACTGCATTAATTGCTAAATAAACAAGCGTAAACAAAGAAAAGTAAAAACAATAACAGTTTGTTTTGAAACAGCTGTTTGGTTGAAATAACATTCATTTGAAAAAAAGAACTGGTCACATGTAGCAGGAATATAAAAAGTAAACACGATACGCTAGTAAAGCTCTAATGACGTAATTGTCAATGTTTATTATCCATACCGTTATCAGTTCTATCCTTGATAATTACCCACCCTCATTGAATAAATGTAAATCGTAATTTCCCATATTAGTTAATTTAAACTACAATATATTCATATTTGAAATAAAAGTGATATTTTCACGTTTGGGGGCGCTGATATAGGCACCCCCGAACGATACCACAACTGAAGACGATTTCATAAAAGGATGGTTTGTCTAACTGCAGTATCCTAGGTCAATGTTGATGTTGTATAAAACCCGGCTGAGGTTGTGGTGGTAATTTAAAATCGTGATTCCTGATTATTCTTGATCTTATTTTTATGACATAAATATTTCTGGGCCTAATCCAAACAAAGTTCAAGCAGACAAACATTAATTGTAAACAAAAAGCTACCATGAAGAATTAAAACATGTAAACTTTGTTATTTTTCTAATCTTTCCTTGAAAATTGGAACAGTAAAATAATTTGCATTTATCCTTTTTTATTAGGATTCGTGTAACAGAGCCTCAATTTGTACTGTGGTTTAATTAATTTTGGCCTAAACTATTTTAAACTGTGGTCAAATTATCTCCACTAATCTTACTTATTTCCTATAATCAATGACAAAATAAGAGTAAATAAAATAACGTCATAGTTCCATAGTTGATATTTAACCAGCTGTTAGTTAAAACAAATTATATTGCTCCAAAACAAATCGAAGAATACAAAGATTGTTTAAAAAAAAACCATTTTAACATCCTAGTATTTTACTATGTATATTTAATTAATCTGTCATCCTCTTACAGAAGAATTGAACGTAACAATGATTAGCATTACACATAGTATAAATAATTCAACCCTAAGTATGTCTTTACATTTTTATCCAAATGCTGAATTTCTGACACAAAAGCTGAATGTTAACAGCTGTTATGTTAAGCAAATTATTTTATGCCAAAAGATAGTTTAGAATCTTAGCGTCGGCTGCTAGACTTTTTAAAAATTAAAACTTAATTTCTAAAAAACTGGGACCCTAAACTAAAATTATGGCTTCGACATTCCCTAGCTCTCAAAATTATCTTTCTTTCAACACAAAAATCATGAAAATCCGTCGAGTGGTTGATTCAGAATCGTGAAATAAAAAAACACTGTTTCGTTTTAATATTATAGATAATGCATTGACAAATGTCCTGTAATTTTATGATGTAATGGCATTCTTTAAATAAATAAATAAAATAAATAAATAAATAAATATACCTCCCCTAAGTCTCGTTCCAGATGGGACAGTAATCCTGAACTGAACTGAACGTGAAGTGAAACGAAACGAGAAAAGGAGAAAGTCACTAGTCTAGTCAGTCAGTCAAGTACACATTACAAAAATACAAGTACAAGTACATACAAAGCAAGGAAAGGAAGGGGTAACTGTAAAGTAGATTTTTTAGAGAACATTTATTTAATGGCCATTGAGCAATATCTGTGTAATGTGTGTATGGCTTTGTAATATTGCCTAAGTTAATCAGTCGAGGCTAGGCCTAAATTGCAACTGTGAAATTCTGTGATTAAAAGTTTCTGGTGACGTGGATACACTATCTTGGTTTGCGTGTTTCTTTTCTTCTCTCAAAAATGCCCAACAAAAATAGAATGAAAAAGACATCATATTATGGTCATGGTGAGTAAGTACCTAGAGTTATTGTTAAGTTATTTCAAATTATTAACTGCATATGACGGTATTTCTCATTCGTATTTTCAAGGTCGAGTAGGCTTAACTTATTCTAGGTTTAGGCCTACCTTACTAAAGTTAGGTCTGTGTACCATAGATTAAGCATACTCCCTTCTACCAATCAGAATGCCCAGTTTAGATTTTGATGGCCCCATCTTCTAAGATGTGGGTCTCGTCCTGGATTGGCATGCCTAACTTATTGTAGGCCTATTATGGCTTTCCATCTAATTCAGGTTTAGGCATAGGCCTAGTTTTAATTTAAGTTTTAAGTCAAGCATTAATTCTAGGCTAGATCCTAGGCCTAGGCCTAACATAAAGTTAAGTACCCTTGATAGCCTACCCTATAGGCTAGATGGGGCTCAATAAATAAATAAATAAATAGGCTTCAAGAGGCTCGTAGGCTACTTAACTCTAGGCGTAACAGTTGGCCAACAATCGTTATACGCTCGTTGGCCGTCATGCCTATAAGTTAATGGCCAAGAATCAAGAATCAAGAATTTTTATTTCCATAAAATGCGGTTACATTGCTGGAAAACGTCAGTCAACTATAGCTAAAATAAAAACTAAAATAAGACAATGGTACAAGGTTTCTTACAAATATAAAGAATTACATTCCTGAAACTCTTTATGCAGAGAGAAAAAAAAAAAACAGCACACAGCACTCGGTTGAAAAACTAAAAAAGACTACTTAATATTCTTCTTTCAGATCAAAAAATTCTTTATTTTTGTACAAAGGGTTTGCCAAAAGGAGCCCCTCAACACCTTTTCTAAATTTTGGGTCCGGCAGGTTCCGAGCTGCAAAAGGAAGTTTATTAAAAAACTTATACCTAACTTAGAATCTCACTTAATCTAACATGTGGTAAATTGAGATAATTTTTCCTACGTGTATTATAGGGATGGATGTCGCCTCTCAGCTCAAGAGAATCCCATTCCTTCTTGATTTTGATCAAGGACTGAAAAATATAGAGGTTACAAACTGTCATTAAGCTCTCAGCTACAAATATGGGTTTACAATGGTCCAAGTAATCAGCACCAGCTACTACTCTAACTGCTTTCTTTTGATAGCGCAGAACTCTCTTGATCCCAGAGGCGGCACCCCAGCAATATAAGCAATAGCCACTATCGTGATGCGATATTACAGGCCAAAGTTTTTGTAACGGTAAAAAAACCACAAATAAGTTAATGAACTCAGAAGTAAACAATACTTTTAGGCCTAACTTAGGCTACCATTCGAAAGATCAAATTCTGAACTTTCATTTTAACACCAATTAAACTTAACCGTTTACAAGTTGTATAATAATGTCATGACGGTTACAATTACAATGACATTTTGCTGCTACGCCATTCCTGCAGTTGACGCTCGGAAAATGTAAAAACTCGACTTGTTTGCCTGCTCGTTATCTTTGTTTGTTATATTCGCTGTTGCTGTTTTGTTACCAGATGTTCATAGTTTATACCGTTGTTAAGTAGCATCTACTTAAGTTGTCAGTCTTTGTCATTCATATTTAATTAGTAACTGCCCTTGTTAAACCATTTGCACCGTTTTATTTATTTACCAAAATTCCCAGTATCACTGAAACATTTAAAATTAAAAAATAAGCATTTTTGACTATTTTAGCGAATTTCCCATATAGGGAATATAAGCTATTACCGTAGTACTCATGGTAGTACTCAAGACCTGGACCCGGGACCGATGAATTTTTTTGTTTTGAGGTCCCTAGAGGCCAAAAACACCATCCGTTCAAATTCATATACGGTATATATATATATATATATATATATATACTTAGAACACATAACAAAATAGAAGCGCTACTCGGAGCGCAGGAGCGTGGCAGTCTTACTAGCCTGCGAAACGGACAAAGATGGTGGCGCTAGCCTACCTGTCGGGGAAATAAATATGTGCACTCGAGTTTGAGCCTAAATATCTCAGAGATGAATAATCCAATTTTGTTGAAACAAAAATTAAATATAAGCTGGTTTAAATACATTTTACGTGGTAGCAATAAAAAAAATATGTTTACCAGAAAAATTTATATTGTTGAAAGATCCTAAAAAGTACCGGGTTTTAAGAAACTCTGCACTAACACTGAAGTTTTAAATTTAATTGTAAACAAACCACTGAGCCAATCGGCCTGCCAATTGCGGGAGAAATTTTTGTTTACAAATATATATCAGTTTAAAAAACACCTTTGTTCGCATTATTAATCTGTCATATTGGTGTTATTTCTTGTGTCACGACAAATACAGTGATATTTTGAACGACATTTTTAGCGTCTTATTAACGATGTTAGCATACGTTTTAAAAATAAACATCAGCATAAAAACTATCGTGAGTAAAAATTTTAAAATGCATGGACCTGTTAACAATAAATCTACCAATAAGCCATAAAAATTTCATAAAGATTAGCTTTGTGGTTTGTTTACAATTAAGTTTTAAACTTCAGTGTTAGTGCAGAGTTTCTTAAAAACCGGTACTTTTTAGAATCTTTCAACTATAAAAATTTTTCTGGTAAACAGATTTTTTTTATTGTTACCACGTAAAATGTATTTAAACCAGTTTATATTTAATTTTTGTCTCAACAAAATCGGATAATTAATCTCAAGAGATATTTAGGCTCAAACTCAAGCACATATTTATTTCCCCGACAGTAGTCCCGGCGTGTGCAGCGCGCTAGTCGTCTGCTATGCTTGATGAGAATAGTGTAGATATAAAGTTAATGATATTAGTGTGGTAAAGGAAAACAATGTAATTGAGGACTTGACGAACAAAGTACTTGGACAATGTGTATGAGTAAATTTGTTTCCAAATAGTACATATTTCTCAGGATATGAAGCAATATGGACAAAAATCATTTTTGTTTAGTACCTAATTGAAATTATTGCTCAAAAATATTTCAATGTTAGAGTTCGCTACTACTGTAAAATAAGTAACGAAAGTCTTCACAAAAATAAAATCAGGCAACATCTCAATAAAACTGTAATATTTCTGGGACAATAAATTGAGTGTAATTTTACAAATATATTTGGGAAGTTTTATTTAACTTAGGCCTACAGAATTATCTTTAGTTTATCTTGGATGATATTGAAAGCTAATTAGTCCTTAAAAAGTTGTGCTAAACGGTTGAAAATTCTACATAGACAATATATTTGAAAATTTCTTTAATATATACAATATTACAGTACAACAGTATAAAACATTAAAACACTGCACGCTAAATGTATAGACGACGGCCCGGCGGCGCAGCGGGCGTGGCGCGGAGCAGCGACAATGGATCCCTTTTGTACCTGATTTTTTAGAAAACCGAACATGATAAAAATTTTTGGTGAATCGGATAGTTAAATTCAGTTATTTATCCACAACTTTCCCGCTGACGAAATTTCTCTGACCAAAAAATAAAAAATTTCCTCGCAATACAACTTTTTCATGTCTGAATCTGAAAAATTAAACTACATAAGTATTAAACATATTTATAACTCAATTACTATCATAACTAATAATTTTATATTAACACCATCGTTTTCCTCAGTATCATATCTACAAGTGTGCAAAATTTCAGAATTTTCAACTGAATGTCAGAATGTTGTTTATGATCGTGTATTTGTCGCGGGGTTTTTAATGCGAACTGAGCTCGCGGGTCTTGAATTCAGGCTGTATGACGGACCAAGATGGCGGATTTGGCCACACTTTCAGTGCATTTGGTTAAACGCCGTGTCCTCTCTATTATTATTATTATTATGTGCTCGCTGGATAGACCCTATATTTATATATATATATATATATACTGTAATTATAAACTCTAATATTAAACACATGTCTTGGTTCAAATCGTACTGGTTCAAATCAGCTAATTTAATTGTTATGATTTGTTAGCAAGTCTAAATCAGCAATAGTAAATAGCGTTATTTGGTTTCCTAGTCAGATTAAAACGCTTGTTTGTTATTTTTCACGTTATGGATCCTTTCACAAGTTCAGAATATGCTGATATGCATTATGTTTATGGTTTTTGTTCCGGAAATGCGTCTGAGAGTGTTCGCGAGTACATTCGATGCTTTCCAGACAGGAGGATTTCTGATCGAAAAACATTTATTCGCGTCCACCAGTGTTTGCGTGAAATTGGAAGTTTTACGGCCGCTTAGTTGGAAACTTTATACAAGATGTCGGATTGGAAGAGGCTGTCTTGGAACGGGTAAATGAAGATCCAAGGATAAGTACGAGGACATTAGCCCGTGAGTTTGGGGTATCTCAAACATATGTGTCAAAACTATTACGAAAAGAGGGGTTGCACCCATTTCATTTCACGCGCGTCCAGAAACTCGAGCCGAGAGATCCACCTCAGAGGCTCCAGTTTTGTCAGTGGATCCAGCAACATGACCGCAGGGATTTCCTGAAAACAATTTTATGGACTGATGAATGTTCGTTTACGAGAGATGGAGTCTTTAATTTCCACAATGAGCATCACTATGCTGGCGATAATCCGTACCTCATCATGAATCTAGGAGTCAGTCACGATTCAAGGTAAATGTGCGGGCTGGACTGATATGAAATCGAGTGATTGGACCATATCTTGACCTTCCTCCAACACTGAATAAAGATGACTAGTTACAGTTCCTAACTGAAATCCTACCAGAACTCCTGGAGGACATTCCATTGAATTTGCGTGATCGCATTGTGTACCAAGCTGATGGCGCACCCCCGCAATTCAATCTCAATGTACGTGACTATTTAAGCAACAACTTCCGCTTGTGGATAGGAAGAGGTGGAACCGTTGCCTGGCCTCCTCGGTCACCATACCTCAATCCATTGGATTATTACTTTTGGGGGTATCTTAAACAAGAGGTTTATCGGACGCCAGTGGAATCAGCTGTAGAAGTGAGAAACCGAATTGTCACAGCTACTGCACGACTACGCAAATACGGTAAACTTGAATGCTACTGTTAGAGAGTTGAGAAACGTGTCCGCATCTGCATCAGACAAAATGGTAGTCATTTCGAAAACTTGCTTAAGTAGTAATAAAAATTGTCTATTCTAAATGCTTTTAATTAATTTGTTAATGCAAAGTAACCATTGAGTTACTGTATGAAAATGTTGTGTTCATTTGCCTCGTATTATTAAAATAAGAATACCCTTAGGCCGGGCGCGCACTATCCCGACCACGACCACGACCACGACCAAACGCCCGACCAGTGGTTGTCATTCACCATGCGACCAGACCACGACCCGACCAAGGCAACGAATGCTTTACAAACTTCAGTGTCAAGATGATTGTTGAAGAAGTAGTTTTTATGGTGCATTTGTATTGTAAGTACGTTAAGCGGAAGAAGACACTATACTGGGTATATCCAATGTTAACTGTTAGGTCTGAAAGGGCATTTTGCAACATTTTATGAAGAGCTACGTCAATATGAAGACAGGTTTCAAAAGTGTCAAAATCCTGCGACATTTTACCAAATGAGTCACTTCACAGACCGGCGCAAAAAACTAGTGCTCACGGTTTGATTAGTCTAGGAATACTGGGGGTTGAGTGGCGTACTGGTCGGGTCGGAGGCAAGTCGGGGGTAGTGCGCGTCGTCCCATTACATTGTGTGCTATTTTTGGCTGCAACGACCAGCGGGTCGGGCCCGACCAAACTGGAAAATTTTGGTCGTGCGACCAGGGCCCGACCAGGGTCCGACCAGTCGACCAGTGCGCGCTGTTCCATTTATTCCTATTATAAAACTGGTCGTATCCGACCAGTCGGAGTCGTGGTCGTGGTCGGGATAGTGCGCGCCGGCCCTTACTCGTAAATCTGGTTTTTATTTAGTTTCATAGTAGTTTTTTTTGTAATTTCTACCAACAACCATTTAAAACTGCATATCAATTTAAAGCTTATTAAATGAGGAAGTTAATAATCTAGTTGGACATTGCGTGGCACCAGAATAAAGTAAGAAAAAGGGGTCTTAAAACTTAAACAAAATAACTATTACACGATATTTTTTACTTTAGGCTAGGAACCGATGTATGTAATGAAATATTTTTTCATGTAACCTTGGTTTTGTAGCAAATTTAATGCCCTTTCGATTTATTTTTTATATAAATCGCTAGAGTAATTGGTTTTATTTTTATAAAGTAAATAGTGACAGAAAGTCCAATATTTTTAGAAAACACAAAATTCTCAATTACGACCAAACGGTTCGGAATCGGACTAGGGTTTATACCAACTTTTTTGTTCATTTTGATCAGTAGAATCCACTGGCGAAGTTATGGGCGTCAGTAGAAACTCACCCTGTATAGGCTACTTTATTTTTTTTTTATTTCTAAAGCTTTTAAGTTGGATAATGGTTAAATAATAAAATGAATTTACAGAACATGATGATAGAGTGCCCCATCCTTCTGAGATTACAAGAAGAGTATCTTTCAAGAACTATGGACCTAACAAAGGACCAAACAGTAACAAGCATCGCTCTCATCGGCAGAGGAATAAGTTTGAGAAGATGCAAGAAGCTTTGGCTATTGGCGATGAAGATGTTGACATGATGATCAGTTCCTCTTTTCAAAACAGAGGCCAGAATAGATAGTGAGTAAAATTTAATCTTTTCAGTTTTGTAGGATTACAAAAGTTTCATTAAAATAATAACTAGCCTAAGGATAAATAATGTAGGCTACACTTCCAGGCTAAATTGTATACTGTAGTTTTGGTTATTGTTGTAACTTAATGTAATTGTATTTTGGTGAAACCTAGAATGTAGTCTTGACTCAACAGGGATTAGTAATTATGACACTTCCTACTACGTCACCCATATATAAATATAGGCCTATCCTACTGTTAAATTAAAAAGCATATTGTTATCATTAAAAAAATAAATTATGTTGCAACATCTGAGAGTTGGTCAATGTTGAGAGAATTGAGAAAAAGTCAAAGTTCCGGTTAATAACTTGTTAACCTCACACCTATCCGATATTATATTGAACTATATTGAACGAAGATTTGGCAACCGCAAGTGTGAGATTAGACCTTGGGAATGGTGAGGTGAGTCACCACAGGCATTACTGTTATATGAACTGATCTACATTGCACTAGAAAAAAGGTTCTTTGTATAACAAATAAGTAGACCTAATACCACAAGATTATGTTTTACAGGGTGCCCATAAGCTACAGAACATTTTGGATTAGGTAGGTTTTATGGGTTAAAATAAAACAAAAACGGAAGGGAAAAAGTTAAAAAAATAATACCCCTTGCCACATCAAACCTGCAGATTAAAAGCGAATTTCCATTTGCCTGAATTGATATTTTCAATTAAATCTATCATTAGGTTAAACAAGTACCTATCTAGGTTTACTACCTCAGGGAGGCTAATGAAGTGTGTTTTTAGTACAATATCAATAGATTAGCATAAAATAAATAATTTTGCCAAGTTTGATCAACATATATCCATAAACAAGCAAACTACAACATTTTACAATATTCTCCATAAGAATAGCATGGGAATTTTAAATTTATAATATTTTGAATTTGCTCCGTAACCAATAACCGCACAAAAACACTTAATATTCCAAATTAACTTATTTGTCTTTTTAAGCTTTTTGAAATGGTTTAGTTAGAGAGAAATTGGAAATTTAGTGTTTTGATGGTCAAAAATGAGGAAAATCAATTTTTAACCGATAAAACCCCCCCGTAAAACCCCATTCCCATCCTCCGATCATGCTGGTTGACAAACTCATTCAAGTTTATCCCGCCTTGCACCTTCAAACCAAATTTTATCAAAATCAAACAAAAATTTCTCAAGTTGTCACGTTCACGGACACACACACACACACACATAATATAGGCTAACATATATCAAACATCAAAATGAAAAAAGTAAATCAAACCCGGGCTCAAGTCTTACCACGAGACCTACGGTAATAGCTACTAGGCCCTACCCATATTTGGAAATTCGCCAAATATTTTTTAGAGGTCACGTAACATTTCACAGTTAGTATCGTAAACATCGTCTACGGTTATGGTGCGTACGTGACCCCTTTTGTGGTTACAGCAAAATCGAGAACATCAAGTGCGGTCCCAGAAAAAGCAAGAACATCTTCTGAGGTTGTGGCGAAATCGTAAAGTTTTGATCGCATATCTTCGATAATACTTTTGCAATCACGGAAATATACGTGCTCGGCTCAGCTTGACTGGGCTTGACCCCGGCTCGATAATCATTTGTACCGATCCTCTAAGGCCAACCAACCTTAAAATTGTGATTACCTGCAGACCCCTAGTAAAAGGTACACTTGGCAACCACGAATTGGTGACTCGGTTGTCTGTAAAATAAACTATAGAAAAATAGCCAGCAATAGTCTGCCAGTGACCTCACACTAATTTTGGTAATGTTTAACATATATCTTATTTTCATATATTTTTTATTAGCCAATTTCCCATATAGGGAATAAGCTATTACTGTAGGTCTCATGGTAAGACCTAGACCCGAGACCGATTTACTTTTTTGTTTTGAGGTCCCCAAAGGCCAAAAACACCATCTGTTCAAATTCATATATATATGTGTCCGTTAGCGCGATAACTCGAGGAAAAATGATCCGATTTTGATGAAATTCGGTACAAACGTGTAAACCTACCAAGTATAATCGAACCATGGGAACAGGGGTTTTTGGGGGTTTTTATGGGGTAAAAATGGGTCTGTTAGAAGAACTAGAACAGCTGAGAGACAAAGCCAAGGATGTCAAAGGCTTATCTACAATAACCAGTACGTCCACCAACCCCCCTGCCCTCCCTCCCCTCCTCCACAGGAACAGCTGATCCGGCAGTCAAGGTTAGGTGTTCAGCTCGTGTACGAGAGAAAAATAAAGTTTTAATTCCCTGAGTAAGCGGGACGTTATTTTTGGACCCGCGAAACGTCAAAGAAAAACCAAGGAAGGTTTTTTATGTGCGTGTATGTGTGTGTTGTGTGTCTTCTTTGTGTTAAATTTTGACAAGTCCTGGATTAACAAATTACAAATTAAGGTGAATGAAGCCCACAAGCTGATCAACAGCTTGTGTACAGTATAATAAACCTTGCCTAAAAACATGTCTTTCAAAAATAAAAATAAATAAACATGGGTTTTTCTCATTTTTGACCCTAAAAACACAACATTTTGCAATTTCTTTCTATACCATTTTGTAGAGCTTAAAAAAAAAAAATTAGTAGGCCTATATTGAAGTGCTGTTGTATGCCTAAGGGTCACGGAGAAAATAAAAAAAGTGTTTAATTTAAAATTTCCATGTTATTCTTATGGAGAAAATGAAAACTGTTGTAGTTTACTTGTTTATGGGTTTATATGTTGATAAAATTTGGCAAATTTATTTACTTCATCCTATACTATTGAGGTATGGTCAAAAAACACGTTTTACCTTCCCCGTAGCAGCAAACCTAAGCACTTGTTAAATCTAATGTTTTTTTAAGTTGGAAAAAAATATCTCTTATTTATGGAAATATTTTAGTAAAAATGTAATCAGACAAGTTGAAATTCGCTTAGTCTGCAGGTGTGCTGCGGCGGGGGTATTTTGATATGTTTGCGGTTGTTAATCCACTTGTGGATAAGCAGGAGTCCATTGTACCAAATTTCACAAGGAATATTTTATAGCTTTGAAGATATAAATCTTAAATAAAAAAAAAAATGGTGGATACCGCGCTAGATAGACGTTTTTTGAACAAAGGTTATTCTTAATTTTTTTGTCCATAAAATCTATTCTTATTCTTTTATTGTATTTACTTTTGGGACACTGTAAGTAGGAACGTATATATGTGTTTACTCAGGAACTATAATAACCTTGTGGTGCATGGTTTCCCACCCAGGGGGCAATAAAGAGCCGAGAATTGTAATTTTATTAATGTTGTATAAGCATTATCTATCTCCGATTATTCATTTCAGCAATGGAAGCCACCAGATTAGAGGGCTGAGGTGGAGAGGAAGAGTAAATATGAGGAGAGAGCCAAACCAATTAAGAAAACTTGGGGAAAGTCCATACCACTTTTACAGAATAACTGTGAGTATAATAAAAAACCGTTGGTCTCCTCAGTACATTCATAGTTTGCAACTCTTTTTTGTGAATGTGAGTTTTATATTATTCAACAATTTACTACAGATATTTTTCTATCACGATCACCAATGATAAAAAAGAAATGTTTCACGATGTTTTGGAATCTGGGATCTGTTCCCATCCTCTGACGAAAAAAACCTAAAACATAACAAGCTTTAGCAGACAAACCCAGCCAAATATAAAAAAAAATCACAAATAAAATCACATATACTGTACAGTGGTCAAACAAATAAAAAAAGGCCATTAAAAAATAAAATAAGGGCACCTACTGTACTATAGTAACTAACGAGGCGAGAGAACACAATAAACCGGTATGCACAAGATTATTTTGTTAACTGTCTTATATTTATATTTAATCTAAGGGGTTTTTGTATTTGTTTGGTTACTTAGAATCCTTATATACAGTAGACTCCCTCTTATCTGGACACCTTTTAACCAGACAATTTTATCAGCACATCGGTTTAACAGGACTAAATCGGCAGGAAGTGGGTGGTACTGAAACGACTGTTCTCGTGGGAAAGATTTGAGACCAGTGATCACGTGTCTAAATACAATTGTCTCCTAAATTTAAGTCAAATACTGTATACAGTATGCATTTAAATGGTCCGTTTTAACAAGTTTTTGGGGACGTCGGTTTAACTGGAAAAACCGTTATCCGGACTGGCCTCGGTCCCAAGGAGTCCGGATAAGAGGGAGTCTACTGTATAATATGTGAAGGCGATTTCTACAAAACACTACTCCTTCGTTAATAATAAACGGATGTTTACAAACGATGTGTCAAAATGAAGTATTGTTTGTGTAGATGCCCCCTTTCACCAATTCCTGTAATAAAAGTCCTCGGGCTTTGCCCACAGGCCATCAAAATCCCAATTTATTTCTTATGGATAACCAATTTTGTTTACTTAAACGGACGAATAATTTGTATTAATTACAGCTGTTCATGATACACACAAGAGCGTTCGTTTTCAGTTTCGATAACTGGAGTGGAGTGATTGATTACATTATCTTTGAGTTGACTCTTTTAAGTCATCGGAAATTATGACTGTTATTCATTTGAAATAATGCCCATAATACTTTGCAATTGCCCGAATTCGAGCAACAGGTGCGCTAGTAATTAATAGTAATGTAATAGTCAAACACTACTATGTCTGGTTTTATTTGTTATTTCTCAGCTTTGGTTAGGTTTGTGTAAGTAAAAAACACATATAGGATTTTCCCCCATTAGTCTGAATCCTGTTGTTTGAGGTATTTTCTCACTTGAGGTAGCGATTAGATTTGATTACTGTACATATCCTGAAACATTGTCGAATCTTTTTGTGGGTAAAATACTTTTAAACCAAGATAAGGTAGGCTAATGTAAATAGGTAATAAATTTGCTATTTAAAAGTAACTTGGTGAAAATCCAATCAGGAAAGTGGATATTTGCTTAGTCTGCAGGTTTTTTGGTGGTGAGGTTGTTTTTTATTAAATACTATCGTATTAATACGATCTTATGCTACTGCAAAACTCCAAGTTAGTATAGAGCTACAGTGTTCGTAAATATCACAGTTCCCGGATTTTACTCTATGTGATTTATATTAAAATGCAGTTTTTTTAGTGTATGAATATGAATTGTACAATTATTAAGCCTAGTGGACAATATTGAACTTGATCCATAATAACTGATAACATAGTAGACCTCTTATCACTGATTCACAGGTTCCAGAAGGCCACAAATATGAGAAAGAATACATCTTGGCTCTCCTTCAGAGCTATGTCAAACCGCTCACCTTCACTGCGCTTGGGGTTAGTATATTGTTAAAGTTTTTATTGTATGGCACCATTTTGGTAGCCTTTTTTATCCATAGTTGCCTCTTGACATACTGACACTTAACCCTATAACTCTTAAACGTTGCGACCACAAGTATTTGTATTCTATCTAAAATGTTAAAATTCACAATCTTCATGCATTATGCAGTGCCTTGCAAAAACACTAGATATACAAATCCTATTTGAATAAACTAGAAACTACATTTTGACCACTTTTGCTAACCCAAAAGCTAGTTTTTGTTAATCGTCTGTTTTTAAATCAGTATCAGATATAAGCTTACTGTACTTTATTTTTTACTAGGGAAACTATTAAATGTTAGGTTAGGTTCGGTTATATACTTTTCTTCTTTATCCACTGTTCAAAGTGTAATATTTTACCTTAATGTCCTGCATTATTATGCCTTAAACTGAAAATCTCATAAATCAAAATTATTTTTTTTATCCATGATAAATTTGAAACCCAAACAAACGTCAGTCATTTTTCGTTATTACTTCTATGTTCCTAGATACTTTTTTGCTGAAATGATTTATGTTTTAAGTGCTAGGTTTTATAACAAAAATTAACTATAAAACAACACTCGATGTCTGGAATACCTTCCTAATCCTTTCTATAAGGATCAATCAGCCTTTTTGATTATTTAATTCCTGAATCAAATTTTTCCCCATAAAGAAAATTTGCAGCTACAAATATATTAAAAATGTACAAAAAAGGAGACGCACCGATACCTGTCAAAGTTTATGTTTTTATTTTTTGGCAGTAATAATTGAATTTAGTACAAAAAGACAAAGGTTAGCGCAATTAAATTGTACGTTTCAACTTTGCTTATACTTTCAGTACAAGAAACAAAATGACAGCATCTGCTTCTTCATTGACGATCATAAAGCGGCTGAACAGATTATGCAAGCTGACAAAAAAATTACAACATCAGATGATTGGAGGGTAAGTAATTACTACATTTGCATACCAATCAGGCCTCTGTGGATTTCTGGCTACCTTAAAAGTATTTTGGGGTCAGGGAGGTAAAATTCTTCCTTTAGGGTAGCAAATCAAATTGAATAATTTGTATATTTGTATTCAATAGCTAAATTTGAGTACCTTTTTAGAAATCTTTTTTTAGTTTTTTATATTGTTTCCCTATTAATCCTAAACGTTTGGGATTTTCATGCAATTTGTATTATCTTTGTCATAATGATTATTCTTACTACTTTACTTTTACTTTACATAACCTATATCCTACTTGTTGCAGCTGGCGCTACTAGTGAGACCTGTAATCCCCAGTATAGATGTTGATAATGGAATGAAAGCTCTCATGAAACTAGCCATGTCCAACAGATACAATATGACAACCAAAGCCTTGGACTTGTCTGGTTTCCACAATGACCCAGGTAAATATTTATATGTACTTGAAGGCAACAGTAAAAATGTTCATCATATCGTTATGTTGTACAGTAAAGCCTTGATTAAACAAGGTAATAAATAATATACAGATTAATAGTCTGACTGTGCCTCAGAGAGGTAAAAACTCAAATAACACAGACTTTACTGCGGTTAACTGAGATAATACGATAAAAAGGCCACAAGTATGAAAAAGTACAGGCATTAACTGTCTAATAATTATTATAACAGTGTTGCAGTAATTGGCACTGCGAAACGATTATCTTCTATGATTAATTATAAAAGTAAAATACCACTCAATGACTCGCTGATCACTGTATCTAAAAAACTACTAATCATAAGAACTCAGGAATTGGCATGGAGATTCTTATTAGGTTATAGGTGTGCAATATGAAGCGATTTCAAGAAATTCCATCAGGACTCTGCCCCAGTGGCCTCTAAAGTTCCCATGTTATCCTTGTGGAGAAAAGATTTGTTTACATTTGAACAGATGTATATTTTTAAATTTTACACTATTAACTAAGGGAACAGCTGGTTGTATTTATTTGATTTAAATGAAAATATTAGCATTATTTTGTGGCTTAGAAATTGGTGTTTTACTGTGTAACAGTTTTTAATTGTTAAATGAATTTAAAAATCAGGATATGTATTGTATACTATGTGTCAGATTGTGTCTTTTTCAATAAAATCAATAGAGGCCAAAAAACTGGTATTGAAAAAATTGCAATACGGCCTAATATCGTGCACCACATACACATAACCCAGTCAAGGTCACTGCCTTCTCCCTCATTACCCTAACATTGGCAACGCCATCAGCTTGTTGATTCCCAGTCCGTTCTCTACTTGTTTTTTTACAGTACTTTAGTTATTAGTTGAGTACTGCCTCCACGTCGTCCTGTCTCTTGCGGTATTTTCATTGACTTCCATCCTTGTTATAATGTACAGTAGAACCTCGTTAATCGAATTTCGGAGGAAAGACAATATATTTTGAATCATAGGAAGTTTGAAATATAGAGAGTTTGAATTAATTATAGAGGTCAAAATTAATAAAATTCTAATTATGGAGGTCCCAGATTTAAGTGTAGAGAGTTTAAGAGAACGGAGACTTATGAACACACTGTGGGAACATGAATAAGAGCGTCAGTTCATGTTTCAACAGGTGTACTTTTGTCCTGAATTTGAATTACAGAGGCTTATGGTAACGCAGTTTGAATTGTAGAGGTTGACTTCAAATTTTGGAAGTAACAGTTTGAGTTACGGCAACAAAATTTGAATTGTAGAGGTTCGAGTATGTGCAAATTCAAATTGTAGAAGCTGCATTAAGCGTAAAAATTACTTTGAATTATAGCAATGTTATTTTTTTGAATTTTAGAGGTTTTTGAGGGTAACATACAAACATTACTAATTATAGAGGTTTTTGAATTATTGAGGTTCGAAATAGCGAGGTTTTACTGTACTTGTTTCCTCTCTTCTAATGATGTGGCCCATCTAGCAAAGCCTCCTGCTTTTAGCCTCTGCGATTATATCAGGCTCCTTAAACAGGTCTCTTAGTTCCTAGTTGTTTAATTCTCCATATGTCTCCTTGTTTAGTAGGGCCTAAAATTTTGCACAGGACTTTGTTTTCAATAATAGATTTTTCTCTATGTGTTTATCCATAACCCAGGTTTTAGCTTGCTATGTCTCTATCCATCCCCTTCCAAATGAAAGACTTTCAAATTTTTCCTATGGTTTTATGTATTCCAAGGTGACCTTTGAGTGTGAGATTAGTGGATCCAGTTTCGGGTCAGTTTGTGTGCAGAGCTCACATCAGTCAGCTCAAGCCCTTCAGGGGAGTTCATGAAGATGGTTCAGAAACCGAAGATCGGGATGAGTTAAACGAGGAAGACTGATCACCTTCTAAGTATAAACGCCTGTCTTCTCTCATTTTGTTTCTCTATGTTTCACCTGTTTCATCTAGTCGGCGCCGACTACTACTGTGGAGTGACACCGTTCTCCATTGAAAATTTTGTAAAGTGAGAGAAGTTTCCGATTCTGAAGAACCAAGCTTTTGTGTTTGAACTGTGTTGTCCTGAAGGTGTGTTGTGGCTTAAGGGGGGGAGGTTGTGCCGTGTTATAGTATAGTTTCGTCGCTCACGGCACGAACAATTGTCAATTCACTCTACTGGGTTGGTAACACTCCAGTTGAGAAGGCGGAATCAGCAAACTGAACAGTTCAGTTCAGTTCAGTTCAGTACAGTACAGTTCAGTTTGCTGAAAATGTGGGTCTTGAGTGCCTGGATGGTAGTGGTAGATGTAGCTTGCCGAAGGGGTATTAGCCACACAAATTTGGAGAAGGCGTCGACACAGACCAGAAGCATAGTATTTCCAGACCGACTCCTCGGAAATTTCCCTACAAAATCAATAAAGATTTTTTCCATAGGGCGCTCAGCCACCTCTGAAGCAAGGAATCCCAGTTTTGTATTCTGCGCTGGTTTACTGAGTGAACAAAGTTGGCAGGACCTCACTCGCTGTGCTATGTCTCTATCCATCCCCTTCCAAATGAAAGACTTTCGAATTTTTCCTATGGTTTTATGTATTCCAAGGTGACCTTTGAGTGTGAGATTAGTGGATCCAGTTTCGGGTCAGTTTGTGTGCAGAGCTCACATCAGTCAGCTCAAGCCCTTCAGGGGAGTTCATGAAGATGGTTCAGAAACCGAAGATCGGGAGGAGTTAAACGAGGAAGACTGATCACCTTCTAAGTATAAACGCCTGTCTTCTCTCATTTTGTTTCTCTATGTTTCACCTGTTTCATCTAGTCGGCGCCGACTACTACTGTGGAGTGACACCGTTCTCCATTGAAAATTTTGTAAAGTGAGAGAAGTTTCCGATTCTGAAGAACCAAGCTTTTGTGTTTGAACTGTGTTGTCCTGAAGGTGTGTTGTGGCTTAAGGGGGGGAGGTTGTGCCGTGTTATAGTATAGTTTCGTCGCTCACGGCACGAACTATTGTCAATTCACTCTACTGGGTTGGTAACACTCCAGTTGAGAAGGCGGAATCAGCAAACTGAACTGTACTGTACTGAACTGAACTGAACTGAACTGACAAATAGGCTTACCACTAACGACATGAAATCAGCAGGTGTAGAGCAAAACTGAATTAAAGAAATTAACTTTGCAACAAATAATTAAACACAACAAACAATAATTAATTAACCTTTTCTCAACAGTGACGACTTTTGCTCAGTGAATTCAAGGTTTCACAACTTCAATGAAACTTTGCCGGCAAGCCTAGCCTACCATAAAATGAGCCTCAATTCACTTTAATTTTCAAATTAAAAAAATCTTAAGATGGAATAGCTTACTTACTAGGCCTAGGGAATTATCTTACCCAGTAGATATGTATTTAATGCTTCATTTTGAAGTCCAAAGCGTACGACTGAGACACCAAACTAAACTTGACGAAACTTCTCGCCATTATTCTGCTCAAAAGGCAATTTCATGTGTCTTCTCCGCCGTCAGTATCGTGAAAGAGAGCGATGAACAGGGCTTACCGGACATAAAACGATTCTTCATTTGACTCTCACCCAAAAAAAAAACTTCTAGAAACGATGAGAAGGAAAAGAGAGATTTGTTTGCGTAGCTTCTCTCGATCCCAAAATTACACAGAAGGGAAAAAACAGTTCAGTTCAGTTCAGTTCAGTACAGTACAGTTCAGTTTGCTGATTCCGCCTTCTCAACTGGAGTGTTACCAACCCAGTAGAGTGAATTGACAATTGTTCGTGCCGTGAGCGACGAAACTATACTATAACACGGCACAAGCTTCTTAAAAAAGGACATGTCTTATGATTGTTTTGTAGATTTTAAGTTTATGATGAAACAATAATCTTGATAGTAATAATTTGTTTAGAGTTTGTAATAATATAATTATAAACACTAATTAACTAATGTAACTAATTTATAACAACTATATTATAACTATATTATCATGTAACTAATCTAACAAAAAATACGTTAACCCATTGACGGCACAATATGTTTTTAGCGAATTTCCCATATAGGGAATAAGCTATTACCGTAGGTCTCATGGTAAGACCTAGACCCGGGACCGATTTACTTTTTTGTTTTGAGGTCCCCAGAGGCCAAAAACACCATCCGTTCAAATTCATATATATATATATATATATATATATATATATATATATTTATATTTATATTTATTTATATATATATATATTTATATATGTGTCCGTTAGCGCGATAACTCGAGCAAAAATGATCCGATTTTGATGAAATTTGGTACAAACGTGTAAACCTACGCTTATTCGAACGAGTTCGCGAACCAGCATAATCGGACCATGGGAACAGGGGTTTATGGGGGGTTTTATGGGGTAAAAATGGGTTTTTCCCATTTTTTACCCTAAAAACAAAAAATTTTGTAATTTCTTTCTCAACCATTTTTTAGAGCTTAAAAAAAGAAATAATTTAGTATATTGAAGCGATGTTGTATGCCTAACGGTCATGGAGAAAATTCAAAAAAAGTGTAATTTAAAATTCCCATGTTATTCTTATGGAGAAAATGAAAACTGTTGTAATTTTCTTGTTTATGGATATAATGTTGATAAAATTTGGCAAATTTATTTATTTCATCCTATACTGTTGACATATGGTCAAAAAACACTTTTTACCTTCCCCGTAGCAGCAAACCTAAGCACTCGTTAAATCTAATGTTATTTAAATTGGAAATATATATGTCTTATTTATGGAAATATTTTAGTAAAAATGTAATCAGACAAGTTGAAATTCGCTTAGTCTGCAGGTTTGCTGCGGCGGGGGTATTTTATTCCTATGTTAGTTAATTTTGTTTAGGTTATGTCTTTCATTATAATTTAATGAAATAACGCATGTATTATGCATTTCAATACAATATAAATTTTTTTAACAGAATAAAAGCCAAAAACATATGTGTTCTCCTCGTCCTCTATACAAGAAAAAAAAGCAAAACAAGTGTTCAGTGCAATTCTTATTAAAATCACTGCAACTCCATCCAAGCCAGGTACTGTTTATTTAAGATGGGTCCTCCACTCTATACCACCTGAGCCACACATTAGTAAGTTTAATATGGATTGCACTTTGCATTGGATTGAACTGGTGCATGTACAAAGACCTAGCAACGCTACAGTCGTCAGTGCAACACCTTAGCCAACTGAGCCACCATGCCACCGTCGACTGAACAGGTGGATTGCCATAAGCACATGACGACACTAGCGCTCACAGGATAGACAAAATACTTCTTAAGGCTGCGCCAATGGGCTAGGAATACAGCTACCTTACCTCGAAATGAAGTGATGGGCTAAATGAACATGCGGTGACGGTGAATTAGCGTCAATGGGTTAAACTAAAACTCTTGTTAGTAAGGGCTCGTATGACAAAAATTTCGCGTAGAGAGACAAAATAATATTTTAAAACACATAATAGTCGTCTCACCTCCTGAGATTCAGTCACACCTTAAATTTTTCCCAGATTGCCTAGCCTACAATAAGATAGTCCAGGACTCTATCGTGGTCATTAATTAATTATTGTTTCGAGTTAAATGGCTCACAATAATAATTCCAACACTGCTAACAACCTTTAGCTTACCTTCAACAAGTGCTCATCATAGCTACAAAAAAAAAAAATGTGAAGTCGAATTTAGAATTTTGAATAAAAAACCGCATTTCTAGATTTAATTAAAGTAAGTCCGTTCTGGGTAGTGGAATAAACTCTACGTGTATCGTTCTGGCGGCTTAAATAATGTCTTATATTCACTACCATGGGATGTCTTACTAAACTCTTAATGTCTTACTAAACTACCATGGGAAATTATATCCACAGGTGTTCCCCAAGGCTCAGTATTGGGCCCACTTTTTTTTTCTTATTTACATTAATGATCTTCCAAAAGCTATTAATAAAGAACTAATTCTTTTTGCCGATGACACTACTGCTTTGATCAAAAATAATAATACAGCTGAAATGTTTTCTTCTCTGCAAAGTGTGGTAAAGGACATGGAGCAATGGTTTTTAGAAAATGGGTTAAAACTTAATGTTGAAAAAACAAATATTATTAAATTTTCTACTAGACACAAAAATATGGAAAACTGTTCCTTTAATTTAGTTGAAGCTCATAAATTCTTAGGGGTTTACGTAAATGACGCAGTTAAATGGGATTCACATTTGAATTATTTACGTAACAAAATTAGGTCGATATCATCTTTATTCATACATTTAAGGGACTGTGTTTCTATTGAGACACTTAAAGTAGTTTATCATGCTTATGTGGAGTCAGTGTTAAGATATGGCATAATTTTATGGGGCCAAGCTACTGGCATTAAAACTTTATTCAGGTTACAAAAGCGTATTATTCGTATTATTACCAACTCTCATCCACGCAGTTCTTGTAAGAAACATTTTCAAAATTTAAGAATTCATACATTAACGGGGTTGTATATTCTAGAATTATTAAATTACATACATTCAGTTAAAAATGAGCTACCAGAAACAATACATTTTAATCACAGGTATGAAACCCGAAATGAAAATATATTTAGACACCGTTTGACCCTATATGAAAAATCTCCATTGTACGCTGGGCTGAGATTGTACAATGTGCTTCCGCCATGCTATAAGTCATTAAGCAAAACTAAATTTAAAGATACAATAGATAATTTTCTTATTGACAAGGCTTTTTACTTAATTGAAGATTTTTACAGAACACAATTTAGAATTTTTTTTTTTTGTTTAGTTTTAAGTTAAAAGTTTTAATGTTAAATATTTTATGTATGGATTTAATTTTGACAATGCACCTATTCTAAATGTTATAACATGTATGGAATGTTTTGTCAAAATAAAGTCTATGTCTATGTCTGTAGCGGGTAAGAGCCGAGAGGACATGTGCAAAAACGTGATTAAGCATGCAGGTCGCGCGCAGAACGCGATTAAAGGCACAATAAAATTAAAATAATTAAACTTCTCTGAAATTGAGATTAAACAAATAAATAACTCGGTAGCACACTATATCTGAGGACTCCCCAACCAAGGGGAAATTATCTCTGACTCACCAGGATGATAGGAAGTTAGACTGTTGGTTTGGTCTCCAAACAGCAAATGTATCGATGGTTCTGAAGTGGGTAGGCAACTGATCCTGAGGTCTGCTCTTCTGGCCCTTCTTCGCCATCGCCCCTGGCGGCGGGGTAGCTAACTATCATCTTCCCTTCTACAATGACGTAAAACCCCTCTCGGCCTCCGCTCCTCCACGGTTTACCCCGAACGTAGGGAATTGTGATGAAAGTAGATAAAACTCCTGAAATTTACTCCTCGGCGGATTTTGGGTCGTTACACTCGGATAACGGTGGCTTTACTATTTACGCACAGAGTTAGAACTAAATGTACATTTAATATTTTTAAATTCTCTTTCCAGTCATAGTGAAGGAGAATGCTTTCTGCCCCCTGAATCGCACCAATGTGATGCAAGCTGCCATTCAAATCATTGGAGAGAGTATTCCTGATCTGGTGGCTCTGAAAGTCTCAGACAACAAACTAGTGACTGTAGACGGACTCAAGAAGCTGAAAGACAGCACACCTAACCTCAAAGTTCTACATATAGGCAATAACAAAGTAAGTTTAGTTAAGGAGGCCTACTAACAGATTAAAATTGTTATCTCTACCTTCAGTGAACTTTTAGAAAAAAATTTGATTGTTTGGGCCCCATGCATTTTCATACACATAGTAAAACTAATACAATCTGATGCAGTGGTGGTCCCAGGATTTCATTTGGATGACCTCTGGGGGTATGGAATATCTCCCAGAAAAAAGGGGGTTCGGGGTTCCTCCCCCCGCAAAAAATGTGGAATTTAAAGCCTAAAAACATATTTTTATACGTATTTGAGCTCTAAAATATGCTCAAGCTAATAGTATTTATGTTAGCTAGTAAAATATAAAATATTTTGGGGGGGGATATATCCCTCTCCAAAAATAACTCTCCATAAACGCAAAACAATAGTGGTTTTGTTTAAAAGCCTAAAAGGCCTTGGAAAACAAAAAAAAACTTTATGTCATAAAGACCTTGTCTTGTGCAAGTATTTAAGTGTGTAAAATGTAAAGCTGAACGTGGTCTTTTTCATCTGTTGATTATTTACAAAACTTTCAGTGGTATTTGTCTTCAATGTACAAATACAGTTTGGTCACTAAATTGACCCATATCTACAAGAAAACTACAAACTACTCAAGATACTAACCCAATCTAACTGTTCTGTTTAAAAAAATCTCACGATCAATGAAGATTAGCTTAAAAAAATTGTAAAATTGTTATATTAAAAAGGAGTAAACCCATTACTTAAAATTTAAGTCAGTGGTGCTATTGCAGTTAATTGTAATTAATTGTTAGCAGTTAACTGGAAGTACAGTATAACTAACAGTGAAGAAAAAATTCCTTATACTACATTACCTTAATCAAACAATGTGTTTGTCAAAATGACTGGTAAATAAATTGTTTTACTGAAATTTATTAATAGATAGAAATATATAAATATGCTTACTTGTGGTATATGTAGTATTACCCTAAGCGTGGAAAAAATACGTAAGTTATATACACAGCTTGATTCGCTGGGGAACGGAGTTCGGGTAAGTACCTCTCTTTTAGAAAGATAAAAATATTGGCACATAGTACATAAATAGGTACAAATCACATTAAATATATTACAGTTCCGGCACCTTATTTTTTTAAAATCAAGCACTGATTATATATATCCATAATAGAATAGTCTGACACATGATGGATATTTTTTTTTTCACTACAATTTTACACTACAGTTTAGTATTTTTTTACAGATCCGTTTTCTTAATCATTTTGACATTATGCAAGGATTGCCAGTTGAAGAAATTGAACTTGATGGAAACCCACTTTGTGATAAATTCAAAGACAAAGACAATTATATCAGGTATGACTTAGATGGTGGATGATTTTTGTGAGTATTTTATACAGCAATGTCCTGTTTGAAACATTGCAAGCAGTGCTGTCTGTCGAGGAGTTAGACTTGCGATTCAAGATTCAAAAAATCTTTATTCACACACAGTACAAATTTTTATCCATGAAAAGTGTCACAAGTCTGTTACTTACTACCTAAATTAGCAATTAGAAACAGTTTATCACTGCAATCATTATAATTTTCAAGATGAGCTATTAGTTTTGTCTGAATAGTAATAAAACTAGTGATGGTCGGATCCGGATATCGGACTACCGGATCCGCCGGATCCAAGCTAGAACCGGCACCGGATCGGATCCAAAAAATTCCGGATCTTGAGCTAGATCCGGTTTTGATGGATCCGATTTTTTCAAATTTTTTCCCGATTTTTTTACCAACACAAAGCTGTCTGTATCACTGTACAACCCCGATTTTTTTACCAACACAAAGCTGTCTGTATCACTGTACAACCCCGATTTTTTTACCAACACAAAGCAGTCTGTATCACTGTACAACCCCGATTATTTTACTAACACAAAGCTGTCTGTATCACTGTACAACCCCGATTTGTTTACTAACATAAAGCTGTCTGTATCCACTGTACAACCCCGATTTTTTTACTAACATAAAGCTGTCTGTATCACTGTACAAACCCGATTTGTTTACTAAAATAAAGCTGTCTGTATCACTGTACAACCCCGATTTGTTTACTAAAATAAAGCTGTCTGTATCACTGTACAACCCCGATTTGTTTACTAACATATAGCTGTCTGTATCACTGTACAACCCCGATTTTTTTACTAACACAAAGCTGTCTGTATCCATGTACAAGACCGTTTTTCCCCCCGAGTGTTTGTCTCTTGATGCAAACAACTTATATGGCTAGGCCATGTCTCAATGTTTGTCTCTAGATGCAAATAACTTACATGGCAAGGCCATGTCTCAATGTTTGTCTCTAGATGCAAACAACTTATATGGCTAGGCCATGTCTCAATGTTTGTCTCTAGATGCTAATAACTTACATGGCAAGGCCATGTCTCAATGTTTGTCTCTAGATGCAAATAACTTACATGGCAAGGCCATGACTCAGTGTTTGTCTCTAGATGCAAATAACTTATATGGCAAGGCCATGTCTCGATGTTTGTCTCTAGATGCAAATAACTTATATGGCTAGGCCATGTCTCGATGTTTGTCTCTAGATGCAAATAACTTATATGGCTAGGCCATGTCTCGATGTTTGCCTCAGATGCAAATAACTTATATGGCTAGGCCATGTCTCGATGTTTGTCTCTAGATGCAAATAACTTATATGGCTAGGCCATGTCTCGATGTTTGTCTCTAGATGCAAATAACTTATATGGCTAGGCCATGTTTCGATGTTTGCCTCAGATGCAAATAACTTATATGGCTAGGCCATGTCTCGATGTTTGTCTCTAGATGCAAATAACTTATATGGCTAGGCCATGTCTCGATGTTTGTCTCTAGATGCAAATAACTTATATGGCAAGGCAATGACTCAGTGTTTGTCTCTAGATGCAAATAACTTATATGGCTAGGCCATGTCTCGATGTTTTAGATGCAAATAACTTAAATGGCAAGACCATGACTCAGTGTTTGTCTCTTGATGTAAATAACTTAAAAGGCAAGGCCATGTCTCAGTGTATAAGATATATTAACCTTTAAACATTACCGATTTAATTTTAAACAGTATGATTTAAATTGGCATTCTGTTAATTACGTTTTTTTTTTTTACCCGCCCTTATGACAGTGTGTACCTGGATCCGGATCCGAAGATCCGAAGATCCGGATCCGAATTTTTCAAGATCCGGTTCCGGATCCGGTACCGACATTTTCTTGGATCCGCCCATCACTAAATAAAACTGTATACAAATCAAGAAAACATTATTTTTTAATATTCAATTCTTTGTGCTCGTGTTTTGTATCTTTGGTGGTTTTGTAAATCAGAAGGGAAGACTTCTACATAAAAAAAAAATATCTTTTGTAAGCTTGATTAATTTATTTGTAGATTCACATTTTTAAATTTAATTTTAGGATTATAGTCTGACATAGTTCTAAAATAGTTTGACAAATTAACTATCCACTTGAAGTGAAAAGTATAAAACAGGATAAAAATTCAAAAACCATTCAAATATAGTTCCGTAAGTATCTCATATATAAAAGTAAAAGGTTGTTAAACCTTTTTAGACACACCCCTTGTACTCTGTTTTCTTGGGTGATAACCTGGTTTATCTCTACTGAAAACCCCTATCTATTTAATTAACAATCAAAATATTCAATTCTTTTTAATATATAGCTAATTGAGGCTTATTTACAAAAAAAATGTTGCTTGCTCGACTAAAAAAATTCTAACTGTTTAAAACCAATGAAAAGTGTTAGTGAAGCTATTTGTGTTTTTAATCTCACAACTAACATTAACTTTAATAGCCAAGCTAATGACATGCCGGTACTTGTGAAATTGGCATATTTTTAGCAGTTAAAACATACATAATTTACACCCCAGCCAAAAGTTTGATCCTAGCTATTTTTGTAACTCAGGTAAAATAGTTGTAAGGTCCTGTGCCACTGTTTTACTTGGGTGTAAACATATGTTTAATGTTGCAGGTACACTGGTCTCCTTCGGCAGGCAAACTGCAAACTATTTGTTTTAGTTTCCTGCAATTACCTTTATCAACCTCTAGTTCAATCCTACTTTATCCTAATTATTACCCCGCCCCTCAAAATTTGATTTTCAGGACTTATTTATTTTAAAAATTGTCAAATACTGAAACTTACTGTTATGATGACTATATTCCAGTCAAACCAAAATATAGCATTTATCATTAAAGTGTTTATTGTTTGTTTAGTTTTGTTGAACATACTAATTTTATTTAAAAGCAATTCTTTCAAATTTATTAAAAGGAGAGTAAATTAATAATCCTAACCCGTTATTGGGGTGTAACTTCTGTTTTAGGGAAGTGCAGAAGAGATTTCCCAAAGTGATAAAACTGGTAAGCAAATTTTGCTATAATTTGAATCTATTATTATATCTAAATACAGAAGTGTTTAAAAATTGAATATCAACAACATGACCACCCATTGGGTAGGCCTACTGTATCTAGAAAGTTTGCCAATTTGTTGATTATGGTACTTTAAGTTTATGAATTATGCACCCGTGTTTCTCAACGTTGATTGATCAAACTAAACTAAACCCTCAATATTTGAGTCATAGTATTCCTTGAGTTTACCATCTCTCATGTCTCTGACCAGGGCTCGAAAACCTTGAATTTTTCCTTAAATTTTATTTTTATGGGACCCAACACAATTAAAACAGGACAAAAAATACAAATTAAAAAAATTAAATTAAAAATTAATCGACTTTATTTTTTAACTAAAATTTTTACCAAACTAAATTTTTTATGTTTTTCTACAAAGGAAAACGTATTATGGTATGAATAAATACTTGGCAACATCATAAAGATTTATGTATTTAATTATTGTATTTTTGCTGATGTGGCAGACTATCACAGTTTTACTTGTCTTATCATAGGATGGGGCTGATGTACCAAAGGCAATCACATTCAATGTGGAAGAGGAGATCGCACTGCCCAAGTCCCAAGGCAGCTTCCTGTGCGCGCCTGCGGCTGCTGATGTTATCAAGCCATTCCTGCAGCAGTACTACCAACTGTACGACAGTGAGACTCGCGCCCCTCTCATGGACGCCTACCACGAGAACGCACAGTTCAGTTTGTCTTGCTCCGTCTTCAATGGCCAGAACAGCAGGTTAGTCAGCTAGCTGAACAAAATACGGTACATGACTCTGAATTCTAACCAGTGGAGGTTCTGAAAAATTTTCATTCGTGGCCTGCTCCTCCACGACACACAACATTTGTCTCAACTACATTGTAAAACTATAATAAAACATCATCTATGACTTGATTTATTGTGTGGATGATTTTTTTCCCCTTGGATGTTGATGGGCCTTCCTCATCTGAAGATTCTTCAGACATTTTTGTGGATGGATAGAAGTCAGGACAGGGTGTCCACCGACCGGGAAAACCGGGAATTGTGCGTGAATTTCGTATTTTACCGGGAATTTTCAATTTGCCGCGATCGCGCATAAAGATGACTTTTCCAATTCCGTGACCGCAGGAGACGATGTTGATGTCCAAACGGCCGTGGGATTTGTTAGTGATTTTGCCTCAATCGCGCATGACGTGTCCGTGACCGCGGGAGACGATGATGTCCAAACTCCAAACGGCCGCAGGATATGTTAGTGATTTTTCTGCGATTGCGCTTGACGACAATGATCACGGGAGATGATGATGATGTCTAAACTCCAAACGGCCGCAAGATTTCTTAATAATTTTGCCGTTAATGAAAAATTTCAAAATGGTACACTTCTAGAAGGTTTTATTTTTGTAATATCTTCATTTACCTTTAACGTGATAGTTATTTAATTTGTTTAGAAGAGTTTAAAACTTAAATTGGCTATGTGGATTATTTGTAATTTCTGCATTCATTATTTTTGTAGGCCACTTGAAAAACAACCCATAATTTGAAAATTACAAACTATATGAAAGTACATAAAGACAGGGTTGGTGTAGTTATCCTTACAGAATATTTGGTACAATTAAAATTATCAGTATTAAAAATCTATTTTTTAGGTGTCGGTACGGAGATACGATAAATTGTTAAGATATTGATAAATTGCAGGTTTGAGGATTAGTTTTTAATTTTCTGATTATTTAATCAGTATTATATAAAAATTGCATACTTTTGTCAGGCAATATTACAGTAGGCCTAATCATAAATTTTGTTTCTTTAACTGAGAATGCTTTTTCCGATAACTAACTAAAATAGCGAACTGTGTTAGCGCTAAAACAGCATTGCGGGAGTTGGCGCAAAAACATGTTGGAAAGTTTAGTATGAAAAGTACGACCTGAGCTACCTGGAATTACTCATGAATGTTTTCTGGTTGGCCTGGTGGACACCCTGGAGGATCTTCATCCATGTGATCTCCAAAAATATCCTCACTATCACTGTGAGTTTCACTTTTGGAACATCTTGTTTCATTTTCAGAATCTGAACTTCCAATATTGTCAACAACGGGAGGAAATTTGCGTCAGAAACTATCACTGAGAATACCTGAACGCAATACAGACAACAAAACAAGCAAACATAACCTTGCACAGCTGGCTTTACAACAGATAACGATAGCAATAGCAACAGTGCATAGAGTACAAAAATATTGTGAAACTATAACAAACATTTTGCAAAATACATGAAGCTTTATATATCGCATGCTGGGGTTAAACGGGGTTAAAATGTCCGTAAAGTATGATCACATAATCTTTTTTGATAGTATTAATTTATTTTCCTACAAAATTGTCTTACATTCATGTTTTCATTTCACATATTTCCAAAAACTAAAACTCATTCACTACAAGCCGTCACACTCCCCTTAATCTCAGGGCTATATACCTCCTCAGTAGTGAATGTGTTAACAGTAAAATGCTATTGTTTAACCTGAGACCGATTTGCAGCATGGCGCCGTACGTAGAGGACAGCAGAAACTTGATGGTTGTACAGAACAATGAGAAACGCAAACGTTTGTTGAGGCGAGGCAAGGCCAACATCATAGCTTACCTGACAACTCTGCCTAGAACTGAACACGACCCCACGTCTTTGGTGGTTGACTGCTCCATATTTACTGTGAGTATTGTAGCTTTTAATGATGAGTTAGTATCCAACATGTACTCATTTTGGCTATGTACCATTCCTGATTTTTGAAGATCAGGTTTGTTTGATTAGAGATTGTGAAACACAACTTAAATAAACAAAAATGTCTTTAGTAGCGAGTGTTCTCTGATGAAATTTTGAAAAACAACTTTTGTGAACAAAACTAATGATATACTTGACTAAACATTCATCTCTTTTTTTAATCTTAAAACTAAAGTGCTGCTGGATGCAACAGGTTTTATTTTTCGGCTTACGCGTAGTTTGTTGTACAATGTGGGCCCTAAATAGCAGAAACGCTTTTTTCCCACTTGTAAGGTGGTTTCAGTAAAGTGAAACCTCTCTCCATGACGTTGGATTAAACCTCATCCCAGTTTGAAAGCCCCTTGCAAATGTAGGCCAGGTCAAGGAGAGACAATACACTATGAGTCATGTAGCACGTCAAAAACACGCACATAGCATTCATGGACAACAGACCTGCTGCTTCGCGGAACGGGGCCAGACATAATCAAATATTTTTAGGCAAGATACAATACGGTTTGCTGATTTTTGAATCCACTGAAGGTCTTCTTCCTGAAGGCTCATGTCTTCCCAAGCAATTCTGTTTCATTACGCAGGTTAGTAGTAGGTCTAGCTAAATGACCACCACTAACTGTCAGTATTAGTGGTGTTTAAAATAATAGATGATAATTTAACGTTTTTTTTAACAAAATACTGTTTTGAACGGATTTTAAGGACATGCTTGTTGAATAAAACATTAAACATTTACATCATCTTGCAGCCAACAATCATGATGATGTCTGTGAGTGGCGTGTTCAGAGAAGTGGAACAGAAGAAGCCACTGAGATCGTTTCAGCGTTCCTTCGTCATTGTTCCTGTTGGTGCAGGATTCTGTATCATCAACGAGGTACTACACGTCAGTCCAGCCACTTCTGACCAAGTTAAGGTAAGCATCAATTTGGACTCTCACTGAATCTTTAAAGTTATTTCTTACGACAAGGTTTGTCAAAATACTTTTTTCAAATTCATACTTTCCTTGATTATTCTTTTGATTTAAACTAGGTGAACCCTTGCGAATTCGCACGAATAATAAATTAGGATATTATAGCAACGTCGTTAGAAGTTGCGTCGTTGTATCGACTTTGGTCTTGAGCTCGATCGTTGGCTATATGTATTCTAAGTTTTTTTTGCTGTTCAGTAGGGGTATTTTGCAGGACGGAGCTCATCATGCTGAAAACTTGCGCTGTGGACCAAATGTTGAGTCAGTGCTGCAAGAGCCATTAGCTATGTTTAGCATTATTTCTTGAACAGCGGTTTTGACGTCCGTAGATATAAATTTGGGCATATGAGGGTTGCTTCCCTTCTGATGGTTGAAAGGTGGTAGGGTGATAAATTGTGTCGTGTAACTTATACATGTAAGGCCCTCTACCATTAGTTCTTCAATTTTAGTTCGAGTGCTGACCATTGCGAGCGCAGAGTTGTACGATCTAATGTTCTCTTTGTAGTTTCTGATCAAATGATTTGCTCCATTAAATAGGCTCTGGATACAATAGATTCCTCAGTATGTTGGTAAATTCACTTTTCCTTTATGGCAGCAGGATGAAAATCCTTCGTCTCGTTCTTCTTTAACATGTAGCGCACCACATTTCTGAAATGATAATGACATTTCGCCAAGTGAATGCTGCTGAATTCTTGTATACTGTATGTCAGTGTAATTTTGTAAGTACACGTTGCCACTAACTGTTCCAGCTCTTCGTCTGGGCTCCTTACGTTTTGCATTGCTTGCCGTATGTTGACTCATCGTGTCCGACCGGCAATATTTCTTTGTCGTCGGGTCCTTGGCATGTTTAAACAAAAATATAATGTAAAACTTTTCTCCCGTAGTGTCCTATAAGGCAAAATTTCTTTGCCCGGTTTCTAATTATTTTTAAAAACATGCAAACTGTTTACATTGACATCTGTTTCAGAATATAATAACATTCAAATCAATCACAATGTTATCCTTATGGGAGGAACTTTGAGGGCAGCCCACGCCCTTAAAAAGATATATTTCAAAAATCTAAAGCCAGTTTGCACATCTACACACCTAGACGAACATTTTGGTGTATAATATGTGGGTTTGGATCTTAAAACGAAAAGCCTTTATTGTTCACAAAGATTCATGTCCCGTATTAAATATATAGATAGATTAACCTGTTTTTAGCGAATTTCCCGTATAGGGAATAAGCTATTACCGTAGGTCACATGGTAAGACCTGGACCCGGGACCAATTTACTTTTTCATTTTGAGGTCCCTAGAGGCCAAAAACACCTTTCGTTCAAATTCATATATATACATATATATATATATATATACAGGGTGACAAAAAAGTCTGGAAACGGCTTGATATCTTTTTAACTAAATTCGTTAGAAAATTCAAACCTTTCACATCAACTTATATTTATGAAAACTACTTTTTGCAAGCATTACCATTTTTGTACCTTCACCAGGGGATGGCCCATGAGGAGTACGTACATAATCTTTAATGTAAGCGTAGGTTGATATGCACATCATTTTAAAGGCCTGGTCAAGTGGAGTTCCGCGAGTTTCCAAGTGGAAACCGCGTAAAAAAAGGTTCATCCGTTACAGAATGGCGGCATTTCAAAGTTCTTGCGGAATGTACCTGCACAGGCCTTAGTAATGGTAAATACTCATAGTCAAAATTAGCCGGGAAATCTGAAACCCGGTTAAATTTGTTTGGAAGATTGAATAAACTTAGTCTATGAGCTAGTTGACTTTAAAATACAATTTCAGCTCTCAAGATAATGTTTAATAGGTCTGAGTATTTACCAATAACTAAGACCTGAAAAGGTATATTCCACAAGAACTTTGAACAGCCATCATTTTGTAACGGATGAACCTTTTGAGACGCGGTTTCCGACAATGAACTCCACTTGACTAGACCTTTAAAATGATGTACATATCAACCTATGCTTACATGAAAGATTATGTACTAACTCCTCATGGGTCGTCCCCTGGTAGAGGTAAAAACATGAAAATGCTTGGAAAAAGTAGTTTTTATACATGTAAGTTGATGTGAAAGGTTTGACTTTTCTAACGGATTTAGTTAAAAAGATATTAGGCCGTTTCCAGACTTTTTTGTCACCCTGTATATATATACAGGGTGTTTGTGAACTCTCTCGAAAAAATTCACAGGATTATTCCTTGGGTTAAAACATGAATATTTTACATTATAAACATGGGTCGCCGGAGCCTCGTTTTCTGTCTGTCTGTCTGTATGTGTTTTTTATAAATAACTTTATAACTCGAGTTTGAATCGAGGTACAAACTTTAAATTTGACACACTTGTGTATTTTAACGTGTTACACAAACATGCAAAATTTCATTTCGTTGACTATAGCCGTTTCAAAATGGCGGCCATCTAAAATCTTTGACCTCAAATAACATGAAAACCACTAGAGTTACAAAAAAAACACAAGAATAACAAAATGTGGGAAATTTTATGCCAAATCAAATGACACCTAGATCTTAAAGATCGGACAACAAACAGCTGAGTTATAAACTTTTTTAATAATTAATAATTTCTTCATCTGAATCAAATCATCTGATCCTTTCTAAATTGTCACAACAATGTAAGACAGCTGGTTGGACATACGATTTTGAGATGATGATCACATGATTATTTTGAGTTATTAATTTTTTTAATAATTAATAATTTCTTTACTGGATTTTAATTGTTATTGTTTATTATTTGAAATCATCTGATCCTTTCTAAATTGTTACAACAATGTAAGACAGCTGGTTTGCCCAAACAACAACATTTAGTTTTTTTACTAGATGGTAAATGTATCAAGTGTCCTATTTTTACCTTAACTATTGAGATCTGTTTAAGGTTACGTAATGTACTCTGTATCAGATGATTTTAAAGAATAAACAATAACAATTAAAAGCCAGTAAAGAAATTATTAATTATTTAAAAAGTTTATAACTCAGCTGTTTGTTGTTTGATCTTTAAGATCTAGGTGTCATTTGATTTGGCATAAAATTTTCCACATTTTGTTATTCTTGTGTTTTTTTTTTGTAACTCTAGTGGTTTTCATGTTATTTGAGGTCAAAGATTTTAGATGGCCGCCATTTTGAAACGGCTATAGTCAACGAAATGAAATTTTGCATGTTTGTGTAACACGTTAAAATACACAAGTGTGTCAAATTTAAAGTTTGTACCTCGATTCAAACTCGAGTTATAAAGTTATTTATAAAAAACACGTACAGACAGACAGACAGAAAACGAGGCTCCGGCGACCCACGTTTATAATGTAAAATATTCATGTATTAACCCAAGGAATAATCCTGTGAATTTTTTCGAGAGAGTTCACAAACACCCTGTATATGTGTGTCCGTCAGCACGATAACTCGAACAAAAATGATCCGATTTCGATGAAATTTGGTACAAACGTGTAAACCTACATTTATTTGAACGAGTTCGCGAACCAGCATGATCGGACCATGGGAACGGGGGTTTATGAGGGGTTTTATGGGGTAAAAATGGGGTTTTCTCATTTTTGACCCAAAAAACATAAAATTTTGGAATATCTTTCCCAACCATTTTGTAGAGCTTAAAAAAGAAATAATTTAGTATATTGAAGCATTGTTGTAGGCTATGCCTAATGGTTACAGAGAAAATTCAAAAAAGTGTAAATTTAAAATTCCCATGTTATTCTTATGGAGAATAAGTCAACTGTTGTAGTTTACTTGTTTATGGATATATGTTGATAAAATTTGGCAAATTTATTTATTTCATACTATACTATTGAAGTTTGGTCAAAAAACACTTTTTACTTTCCCCGTAGTAGCAAACCTAAGCACTCGTTAAATCTAATGCTATTTAAATTGGGAATAAATATGTCTTATTTATGGAAATATTTTAGTAAAAAATGTAATCAGACAAGTGGAGATTCGCTTAGTCTGCAGATTTGCTGCGGCGGGGGTTTTTTATTATAAATTTTAGTTGTTTGTTTATTTGAGTTATTAGATGTGATTTCTATTTAGGCTTAATGCACTTCTGTTAAACGGTAGCAATTTAGGCTAAACTTAAATGTCAATGATTATTTTTTTCCATCATAACCTCTTTAACCCTCTTTATTCAGACTACTTCCGAGTTTCAAGTCGCCCAGATTAAATCAAAAAATCTAAAACTGTCCAAATGTATGAAAAACCGGTGTTATATTGGACAACCATTGCTTGTAGTTTTCATTACTAAGTGGTTAGAATTAGCTTTAAGCAAACATATTTTAATGTGCTCTAATGGTTGATTTTGGATCTAATTTGTTCTCCTACACTGTATCACTCATTCTATTACAGATGGCATTCAAGCCCCCACAGCCTGTGGTCCCCGCAGTGCCGGTAGCTGTGCCCCCCGTAGCAGTGGCGGGGCCCTCCACACCTGCAGTACTGGATATTGCTACTAAACAACAGATGGTGTCCACCCTCGCCCTGCAGTCTGGAATGAACCTTTCGTTTTCAGAAAAGTGAGTGTTTCTCTGTTATGAATTGAATACATATATAGGATGGAGAGGTCACAGCTAACTCACCTGATGAAAGGTTGCAGACGAATCAAAGAACACATAAAACACATACATAATAATACTTGATATTTCGCCTCTTTCAGAGGCTTCTTCAGAAGTTATGAATTGGTTATTTTGGCCGACAATGTGTAAAGTCTTTAAATATGATCTCATATCTTGAGAGCTGTTGGCATTGTAGTAGTACTAAAATTTACTTACTACCTGTATAATTTAACTGTTTCAGTGCTAGGCCAATAATTCATATTTCGTAAGACTTTTTTGTTTGCCTTTTAATTCCATTACCTGTTGTTGAATTTTAACTGTCGTGTTGTCACTATTTTATTAATTAGGCTAATTTTGAATAATAACACAATAAGAAAATATATAACAAAGATAAATCCCGGTATTTGTAGTAATCATTAAATAAAACTTAGTTTTTGTTGTAATTTTCCTGGTTTTCCTATAAATTTTTATTTGTTCTGATAGCATTGTTTGAAACCAAAATCTCACAAAATCAAAAGACATTTAGTTTACAATGTAATATTGAATTTAACTTTGATTTAGTTGGACGAGGTTATCGTAATATAGCCATTTTAGGGAAACTAATGTTTTGCAGCAAAGTCTCAGGAACACATTTATGATCACTGTTGTGTTTCAACTAAAAAATTTCATCTAAATAGTCCATGACTAACTGGTGCTGCTACCTAGTAATGCATTAAACAACCATCTGTAGCGCTATATGTTCGTAAACGGTGGCGTCAGCTTAAATACCGGTTTTAGACTCCTCAGTCTTCAAGCACAGATAGCCGAGAAGGCTAGGGCGTGTGTCACTTGGCCAGTGGCATTTGTCTGCTCGGGTTCGAATCCTGTCCTGTGTGGCAAATAATTGGTGACCTGTGTGTTTGTAGCGATATACTACAACGACTGGGGCATAGTGAGGTGTTCATAATCCTTGGTTTAGACATACACCTCGAAATAACCGGATTGGGCAAATCTTTTAGCTAAGTGGTTGTTACCTGTATCCTTTGAACATGGTCACCAATGGCCGTTTTGCTATTTTTTTTAAAAATAACCTTCCTCTCTATATCCCTTAAAGATTTTTTAAAACAACGATATATCATTTCATAGCACTGAAAGGGTTAAAGCAAAGTAGTTCCCTGCTACAATTCGTAGATGTCTACAGTTCTCTTTTAAAAATCTTTAACTTTTAAATTACATTTTCTGTCATTAAGAATTAGGCCTATTTGTAGCCTAACATACAAATTGTCTGTGTTTACTATAAATAGTTTGGATTTCGGACACCACCAGTTGATCACTTGGTAAATTATGAGAGTTAAATTATAGATTAATGTTCTTCAGGTATTTCACAAAATATCTAATTTTCTAGGAAAAAAATATTGCCCTTTCAATATTGCCTCTAATTTTTAAGGATGCATTAATGTAATTAATTTTTTCTGGTTATTTTATCCATTTCAACAGCAGAGCCATTTACCGTTTAGCTATGCAACAACTAATAGTAGCATCTTTAATTCATGAAATAAGAGGTTTCCAGTAAAAATAACTTAAATAATAACTTGATGTCTGTAAGGTGCTTGAGTGAAAACAACTGGGACTTTGACCGAGCGGTTTTCATCTTCAGCGAACTCCAAAAACAAGGAAAAATCCCGCCCGAGGCGTTCATCAAATGAACTGCGAACTTACCACTGTAATATTGTGGAAATGTTAGTAAATTCATTTGGGTACAGTCAGTGTAAATGATTATTATTTTAGCGTAACCTAGAGGTAGAATCAGTTAGTTGTAAATATTGTATAGCCTTAGCTTTGTATACAAGTTCTATTATAAAGCTCTTACTGCCATCCAATAGTTTTTTATTTGTCACTGTTTAGTTTGCCTCACTAAAATTTTGAAGCTAAGGGCCTTTATCTTGAATATTTTATCAAATAAATATTTTGTTGTATTTGCACTGTTAAAATCTTCAACAAACATTCCCTGTTGGTACTATGTTTTATGTTTGAAATTGTCAGAATATACAAACTCTAGTTTTTACCAGCAAGGGCTAAATAAGTAGTCTTAGGTCTAAATTTTATCATCATCAACACCGACTTGTCGAATAATAGTTGACAACTAATATCAATCACCTAGTTTTTACACCTCTATGATTTACAATTTTATATTTGGTACCTACCTAAATATAATTAATTTATACTCATATTTGTCTCATTTTTCTTGAAGGGTTGCTGATATCTTTTGAAAATTACACATCTGTAAAAAGCTTAAGAAGTTTTAAGTGTTAATATTAAGATTGCAGGATGATGAAAAAGAATTGTTAAAGTTTCTATTAAAGAAAGTCTTAATTTAAATAGTATGTGAAAAGTCTGTGAATGGTTCAAGCCTACATCTATAGTTAGTTAAGGAAATGCATTTAAAAATTAACTAAAGTATTTGAATTAAGATTTAAGTAACATTGAGAAAACACAATTTTATGAAGCAACCTTTTGTCTGAAGATATTGTTTTATCACCACAACCACACCAAACTCTCTATACTTAAGGTAGGACCTGATATGAATCTGATTGAGATGATAAAACTGTCACCAAGATTTGAACTATTCAATAATCTTATGTTATGAAAGATTAAAAAAAAATTGTTTTTACACAAACATGCTTTTCCAGCTTAGTGTAATAGTGTACCCTTGGACCATTTCAGACTTTTCATTATACTAATTGTATCTGTACTTTTATAAGATGTTTACAAAATAAAAAAGTCAATGCATTTTTTCTAAACTCTTTGTTTCTTTTTGTAAAACATTATTGTATTTTTTTAATGTGAACCTTTATTATACAGTTGTAGATTATCTTATTATCTATTATCTTAGGTGTATATGTTTAGTAATTATTTTAGTTGCTAAGTAGAAGTTAAAATAAAATAACAAACAAATAGTAATAATTTACATGTTAAATGTGATACAGGGATTTTTGCCCAAAAGTAAAGCAAGTTTCATCAATGTCTTGTTAAAATCCGAATTAAACTATCCAAAAAGTCCAAAAATCCAAAAAGTTTAGTTTGCAGGAAATGAAAACATTTTTATGTTATTTTTTCATATTTTATTACTTCATATGGTTATTTTAACATATTGTTGATGAAGCTTTCTCAATAGGTATAAAAATATTTCATGGCAATAACAATTTTGAAAATATTATATTGTTTTGCAAGTTTAACAGCACCTACCAATTGTCGGATTATTAGAATTAGGTTCTGGTTTTATATATTTGTTACTTATAGTTGTAAAATCAAATTAATTTTTCCTACAGTCAGATAAAGTAAAGTTGGCTTCATTGCACAAAATGTAGTACAGAAAGCTTTACTTTGGCGCAAACCAGTATTCCAACCAAACAACACAAAACAGTGTGCTTTTATTATGCATGTAATCCAAGTACGCTTGAAATAAGTTGGCAACACTTAAAGATATTACGACTCTGGTGCAGCGTTTCCCATTTCGTTCAATGTTTGGATTTATAGTAACTGTAGGAAAAATATAATGTGTAACACGAGTGCAAATTGCCTTTGCTACACTTGAGAAACGTTCCACACTCGCCTACGGTTCGTGCGTAAACATTTCTCTCGTGTGCAGCAAAGTGCCACTTTGCCCACTAGTTACACAAATAAATATATCTTTTAACTCTTTTTGGATTAAGTTCTTAAGCCATCTTTGTCTTTCCAAATCACAACTAAATTAAAAATTTCAGTGTGTTTCTAATTATAACTTGTTTCTACTATCAGTGAGTTGTACTTGCATTTATTGGCTATATGGAAAAAGTATTTTTCCACTGAGAGTTAAACATCATTGTGCTTTATAGTCTGCTAGTTAGGAATACTGTAAGCTAAACGCTAATTATTGAACTATTTTAAAAATTACAACTTTGATGATCAATGCCAAATTTGGAATTATATTGAAGCATGCTTCATTGTTTACATTGTGAATTAAATAAGTATTGATTCTTGTTAATAACCAAAAGTTCTTTGTATTTTTTATCTAATTTTCGTTATTGTCATTATACTCCTATTAAAAAAATTATATTTCTATTTATTAATCTTTTTTTTATATATTTTGTAATTCTTTGGTAGCTTAGCGTTCAAAATGATAAAGGTAAACATTGCTTGGATTTTGTATATTGGATTATTTTAGTCAGTTAAATATTTAATTTGAACATCTGAGGCAATGTTCGAAGTACTGTACATGCACATATCCAACAAGACTGTTTGGAGTTTAACTTGGGGTATGTCAAAGAGTTAAACTCTCACAGAGTTTGAAATACTTCTGAAGTGGATATCTGCGAAGAAACGAGACTTTTAACTCATTGGCCTAGACATTCCTGTATATACATGGAAGAATCACTTCTATGAAAGAACAGGCTTATGATTACTGGAAGTTAGGAAGGATATGTGAACTTTCCATGAGGGCATTGAACTCATGGAGAATATCTTCGAAGAACTTCTGATGGATTGACAGGGTTTGAAGAAAAGCGTCAGCTTTTCAAGGAACTTTGGAGGTTTTTGGGAACATATTTACTCAACTTTGAGAAATAGGATTTGAGGTTTTCTATAGCTTCTAACTGATTTTAAAATATACAAAACCCAGCAATGTTTTTCTTTCGCTACCTAAAGTAGTGGAATATTATTTGGTTATTCTATTACATTTTGAACATATCATGTTTCTGTATTTTTTTACATATAGTTTATTACATTATTTGTTTCCATATAAGATTTATATTGCTCATAAATTCATGTTTTCAAATTCTCTGCACCTTAAATTGTCACTTTTTCATTTAAAGAATTTAAATTCAAACATTTATTAGATATCATGTTTTTCTATATTCATATTTGATATGAAAATCCATTTTTTATTGTTAAATTATTGAAAATAGTTAAAAAAACAAAGATTGTTAAACCTTTTTCACTCTTCTAAAATATGGCCAGGAAATCATAATCTATGTAAGGATTAGGTCATTGTATGCTGCCCAGGTGAACCTAAAATCAATTATGTCAATTTTCTGACTATGCGAATGGATATATAAACATAGAATCAGCATGGACTATTATAATTTTTAAAATTTGGTTTAATATTACTAATTTTGTTTCTCAAAGTCAAACTTTAAAAACTAAGGAAATTGTTGAAAAGATGACCTGGGCAACATTCAACATATTTAAATTCTGTGTGTGATGTTTCTTAAAAGATGTGATTAATATCAAACTGTTATATGGTTGTCGTAACTTTCATGCTTTAAAAAAATTAATCTAAAAAAGCTTTCATCTGTAATTTTGTTATGATTAACGATTGTATGTGACGATCTAACAATAAAAGTTAAAAGTACATAGACAAGTTTAACTATAAGTACTTGGTACAGTAAACCTTCATTACGGTATACCAGGTTTATTTGGTATGCAAGTGCTTTGGATATATGAAAGCCAGGATTAAATTAAACAAACTTAACATTATGAAATGCAACAACATACCAGGATTGTTTATGAATCCATATTGTATAACTTAACACCTTTTCCAGGAATTAAAACTTAAATTAAGATTTTGGTAAAATTTTACAACATTTTAAACTACTGAAGTACTCTTAACAATGCACTAAAAAACTCCTTAGTTTTCAGTGGCACGTTACTAAATTTTATAAAACAATGTCAAATGGCTGTCCAGATTAAGCAAAGTCCTGATTAATGAGGGTTTATTGTAGTCTTAGTAGGTTCTCATTAGGATAAGCGAATTACAGATTTTGTGGATGCTGTGTGTATTTGTATGACATTAAATAGAACAAGACCAGAGTTTAGGACTGTTTTCTTTCAAAAGACGTAAAAAAAATGTCACAGGACCTGGTCGTTTGTTGATTCATAGCTTGTGAAAGTCAGCTACTTTGTTTAAAAAATTCTTGATCATTGTGTTTATTACCAAGTAATTTGTATTATTAGTAATTTGTGTTAAAATAAAAACAGTTTTCATAGTTTAGGTTAGTAATAGTTACTAAAATGCTTGAAAAAATGCATTGACTATTTTTGTTTTGTTTACAAGATTGTTGTATTCAATCTATACCATTTATGTGTCAGTCAAGCACCCTTCAAAGAATGATTTGTCTTTTTTGTCCATTGTAAGCAAACTATTCGTTTTAGACTATAGAGTCTATTGACTATTGAGTCTAGTGTTATCAAATTGTGGTTTAAGTTGATTAAGTAGCAACACATTTTGGAAATAAATTTAAGATATTTTCATTTTATATGAACTTATTTTCTTCCTTATCCAACTATCTATATTCCCACTAGATTCCTACGCTATCAATTTCTTAGTGGGTAAAGCTGTCTTTGGCCTGATTAATGCCACAGCGGCTTGGTTAATGCCACAGCGGCTTGGTTAATGCCACAGCGGCTTGGTTAATACCACAGCGGCTTGCTCAATGCCACAGCTGCTTGGTTAATGCCACAGCGGCTTGGTCCACAGCGGCTTGGTGAGTGCCACAGCGGCTTGCTTAATGCCACAGCTGCTTGGTTAGAGCCACAGCTGCTTGGTTAATGCCACAGCGGCTTGGTCCACAGCGGCTTGGTGAGTGCCACAGCGGCTTGCTTAATGCCACAGCTGCTTGGTTAGAGCCACAGCTGCTTGGTTAATGCCACAGCTGCTTGGTTAATGCTACAGCGGTTTGGATAAGAAAAGTTAAATTTGCACACTGGTATCTCACACATTATATGTGTAAAAAATATGCTGTGACTAGACAAAATAGACAATAGACAAAATCTTTATTGAAATATTCCTAGAGAACATTCATGCGTCAGGTACATAAAATGTACAGTATGTACGTAAACTATTACAGTAATTTGCAATTACAATTAGAATTTTTTTTCTTCTTTTTTTCATGGTAGCTTATTGTTTAAGAATTCATCCTCAGAGTAGAACGGCCGGTCCATAAGCCATGTTGTCAGGTGCTTCTTGAGCAGATTGGGTTGTTCTCTCTTGAGGTGCTCTGGTAGGTTGTTAAAGTACAGAGCACCTTTGTAGGATGGTTTCTTCTCGTACAGACTCAGATGGTGTTGTGGGAGGGAAAAATTGGCGGCATGTCGTGTGTTGTGCTGGTGTATGTCTCTGTGTCTTGGCTGGGCTGTTTTAGTGGTGTGGATAATGACTTCTCTTATGTAGAGTGAAATTGATGTGAGAATTTTAAGGTTCTCGAAGGCTTCTCGGCAACTGTCTCTGTAGTTCAGGTCGGCAAGGCATCTAATTGCTCTTTTTTGCTTTTGGAGTACTCTTTCCATGTTGCCTTTTGATGTTCCACCCCAAGTCGCAATGCCATATCTGAGGTGGGACTCAAATAGAGCAAAATATGCAACTTTGGCTACTTCTGGGCTGCAAGCTTGCTTGATCCTACGTATAACGTAGAGACTTGAACTTAGCTTTTTGCAGAGCTGGTCTATGTGGGGTTTCCATGATAGCTTGGAGTCAATTATGATGCCTAGGTATTTTGTGGTATTTTGTGTTTGTAGTCCTGGTATTGTAATGTCTGTGTTGTTGCGTTTAGTGGTGAAAGTCATTTGAACGGTTTTGCTTTTGTTTAGAACTAGGTCGTTGGAGGTACAGTATTGCTTTGTTCTCTGGAGTTGTGTGTTGGTTTTCTCTTCCAGATTTTCCATTGTTTTGTCCGCAAATGTGAGAACCGTGTCATCTGCGTACATGGTGGTGTGTCCATCTTCCTCAATCCAACTAGGTAGGTCATTCGTGAGAAGGAGGAAAAGGACTGGGCCAAGTACTGATCCTTGGGGTACTCCTCTTTGCACGTCTACAGCTTTGGATTGGGCCTTATACTTTGTATTGTTCTTTATGTAGGCTATTTCCACAAGCTGTTTCCGGTTACTAATGTAGCTTTTAAACCATTCTGCTGCTCTTCCTCTCACGCCTAGTGTTTCCAGCTTGAGTAGAAGAAGTTCGTGGTTTAGGCAGTCGAAAGCTTTACTAAAATCTAGGAAGAGGCTTGTTGAAGTGCTGCCTTCTTCTAGTTGGTCTAGTATGTGCTCCTTCAGTTGTATTAAGGCTGTGGCTGTCGATCTGCCTTTGATAAATCCATGCTGTTGACTATTGAGAAGGTTGTGTTCTTGAAGATGGTGTAGGAGTTGGGCTAGTACTATCTTTTCGATTATTTTTGAAAACGTTGATATTAGGGAGATTGGCCTGTAGCTGTTTCTTTCTATCGTTGGTCCATTTTTGTATTTTGGGTAGACTTTAGCTATTTTTAATTTATCTGGGAATTTTCCTTGTGAGAGTGATTTATTTATGAGGTCTGTCAGGGGTATTATTATTTCATTTTTACAGTTTTTTAGAAGTTTAGCTGATACCTCATCAGTTCCGGATGAATTTTTCATCTTTAGAGATTGAATGGCCTTTTGCACTTCTTCTTTTGTGACCCGTCTGAACTGGAGTGTGTGATGTGTTGCTGGTAGGTGGTCTGTTAAGGCATTGGTTCTAGAGTTATTGTTATTTTGGAGTGTTCGGTCGGCTATTGATGAGAAAAAATCATTAAAACAGTTTGAAACTTCTATTGGGTCGTCTATTGTTTTATTGTTGACTTGAAGATGGATTTGGTTTTCAGTATTTGATCTCGCTTATTGTTTATTGTTTATCTCGTTTATTGTTTGCCACAGTGCTTTAGACTTGTTTTCAGCCTGGTTTATGTGAGCTGTGTTGTTTTCTTTCCGAAGCATTTTCAAATGCTGGTCGTACTCCTTTTTTTTAATAGTTGTTCTGGCTTTGTCTTCCACAAGTCTGGTTGTTTGCTCCTTTTCTAAGGCCTTTATATATTCATTTTTAAGTCTAGCCGATTCTTGATTCCAACACTGTCTCCTTTTATGTTGTTTAACTCTTGATGTTTTAAGAGGGCAGGCGTGGTTTAGTGTTGTCTGGATGATGTTGCTGAAATTGTTGTAGGCTTCATCTACGTCATGAGTTTGTATTATAGTTTCCCAGTCTTGTTCTTGTAGTTGTGTCTTAAAGTTATCTATTGTTGTTCTGTTGAAGATTCGTTTATTTTCTTTGATGTTGTTGATGATAGGTTTTCTAGTGATGAATTTTGCGATTTGTGCGGTATGGTCAGATAGTCCTGATGTTATAACTGAGGTTTCTATTTGTTGATTATCAATGTTTGAGCATATCCAGTCTATTGATGTTTCTGAGTCACTTGTAATTCGAGTGGGAGGTAGCCTCAGTCTTGAGATATTGAAGGAGGTTAGGAGTTCTTCAATTTTTTCGTTTTCATTGTGATCAACTAGGTTGTTTACATTGATGTCTCCCATTATTAATATTTGCTTATCCGTAGTGAGCACTGTTTCCATTTGTTCAGAGAGTATATCGATGGCTTGGTCTAGGTTTGCACTTGGTGGCCTGTATACTCCGAGGACCAGCAGTGGATTCCTGTTTAGCTTCAGTTCAAAGAGCACAGTTTCGCAAATCAGTTCTGTTTCCTCGCTACTTGTGCATATGAGTTATACATGCTTTTCCCAGCCACTTCTTACATAAGCGACCACTCCTCCTTTGACATGGGATTTCCTTGAGAAGCCTCCAATAAGTGAGTAATTTTCTACCCACGTGTTTTGCAAGTTTTGTTGTGCTACGCCGTGCTCTGTTATTATGATCAGGTCCGGGTCTTCATCTTGGAGGAAGTGTGCTAGTCTATCAGTTTTTTTAGATAACCAATTTATGTTTTGGTGTAGAATTTTAAGTCCTTGTTGGCTATTAGGTGTTTGGAATTTTACTGTACGGAGTGTCGGAGGGGATGTGTTACATCTTTGAGCTGGTTTTTGTGCTTTTCTCTGGGATGAGGGTGTTCTTCTAAAAAATGATGTTGGGAGGTGGGAGTTTTTAGGGGTTCTTGTGCGCAACTTTGGTTTTTGTTAGTTTGTAGTGTGTTTTTATACTTTGGGAGGGGTGGTTCTGCGATTTTCTCAATGTTGATGTGGTATTTGGAAAGTTCCTGGGAGCTAAGCAAGTTTGCTTGTTGTATCCAACGGCCTAGTTTATCATTACTGCTGGGTGTTATGTAAAGGAATGAGTGTGTGTGCCTTGAGATAGCAACGATGCAGTGGTGTTGCGATTCATAAATTTCTTCTCTTTTAGCAGATGTTCGTATGACAGCTATGTTTTCTGCTTGCCATCCTTGAAATTCATGTATCGTAGATGCGTTGAAACCTAGCTTGTTTAGTTCTCTTTTCTCAGCTTGTTTGAAGACCAAGCATTTGTATTTATTTTTGTTGAGAGTGAGGTTCAGGCTTTCTAGTCCCTGGTACTGCTGTGTTGCCAGTTCTTTCTCTGTCTGGTTGGTGGTTTGCATTCCTTGGCTGTAGAATTTTGAGAGGATGGCTGTGGTGCTCTTTGTGCATCTGTATGTGGTGTTTAGTATTTTTGTTGTTGTAGCTATTTCTGTAATGTTGTGGTATTTAACTTTTAGGTTCTCTGCTCTGTTTATATATGGTATTTGGTTCATGTCGCCAATAAGCAATACTTCTTTAGCAGTTGATAAAATGGCTGCAAAGAGTATTTCTCCGGCATGCATCATTAGAGCTTCGTCGATGAAGAGCCTGTTATAGGTGTTTCCTCTCTTAAGATGTTGGGTGGAGTTTATTATGAATGAATGCACGGTTCGGAAGGTGTCATTGCATTTTGCCTGGCTATGGTCTGGGTGGTTGGTTTTGTATCTCTGTCGGAAGTCCATTGCCGCATCTCTTGTAGGAAACAGGATGAGGTCCCCTGTAGCATAGTTGTTGAGTAGGAAAGTTGTTTTCCCACATCCTGGCACACCTTGGACTAAGTTCAGTTTAGTGTTGTATGAGTTTTTAATGTCAATGTGTTTTGTGCTATTATAGAGATGTAGTTCGTTTAGGAGTATTGTCTCGTCTGATACTAAGATGTTTTGATTAATTGCTATGTTGTTTGGAGCAGTTGCATAATTTCCATTACCTTTCCTCAGTAGTTGCACTAGACGTGCTCCATCGAAACCGAATTGGTAAGGTGTTGTGTGTGTTGTTTCTTGTTGGGTGAGGAAGTTTCCAGTGTTCAGGTTTATGATGGCGTATTTGTTTTTGGTTCTATTACAGAAGTCTTGGAGTTTAGGGTCGTCTTTTTGGAGGCTGCTTATATTGTACTCCTTGTATATGGTGTTAAGGTGGTGTAGCAACATCGATTCTTTTGACTTCCAAAGTTCTCTTTGCTCAATCATCGCTGCTTGAGCGAAGCTTTCCT